CTGTGTGGCTGTGAGTCTGCTCCCTGTGCATGCAGCCGGCACTGCTCACCTGCCCCCCCACCCCCGCCATTTTTGTCCCTTCTTGAGAGCCAGGGCAGAGCCTAGCATTGGAGTCCCCTGTCAGGCAGCATCAGTGGGCCATTTGGGGGCAAAGTTGTGACAACAGATTAATAGATTATTCTTGGGGGAACACCTGGGTGGCTCAGTAGTTGAGCATCTGCCTTTGGCTCAGATTGGGATCCTGGGATCCTGGAATCGAGTCCCACATCGGGCTCCCTTTAAGGAGCTTGCTTCTCCCTGTGCCTGTGTCTCTGCCTCTCTCTCTCTCTGAGTCTCTCATGAATAAATAAAATCTTTAAAAAAAAAATGGCCTTGGGGAGAGGGCTAGGGAGGACACCTAGGAGGCCAGCAGTGCCCCAGGTCCTCGGGACACGTGACATAGCCTAAAGCAGCACAAGCATTCTTGGGCCTAGGTGGGGTCAAAGCAAAGAAATTATAGCAATAAAATGTGCAATAACCTCTGTCCGGCTGGTTTTCCCTGTTCCTGCTTCTCATAACTCACAGCCCTGGGACCTTCAGAAACCCCACCCCAGCTGGAATTCACAGGGTGGGCAATGGCATGACTCACAGTTACCCAAAGCACAGTGAGCAGGGCCACATCTGCCTTCCTGGGGGGACCCACCTCCCCATCCCCTTCTTTCCATCTCCCCGCTTGCCTCCTCCCAAGCAGTAGCTGAATGAACCCGGACAACAGCAGCCCAGAAAGCTGGAGCCACTGTCAGCAGGCAGGGCGCCCAGGGTGACCTCGAGGGCACAGGGATGTGGAACCCAGGCTACAGGAAGAACATTCTGCATCTTTCCAGACCTGCCCCAGCTTCTGGAGTTAATAAGGGTCTTCCTGGTCCTTCCCAGAAGGAATGGCCTCTCCTGGCTTGAATAGGAAGGGAAGGGGAAGACAGGGCAGGGCTGGTAGGGGTGCAAGAGCCCAAGCAATCAGGGATGCTTGGATGGCTCAGTGGTTGAGCATCTGCCTTCGGCTCAGGGGGTGATCCCAGGGTCCTGGGATTGAGTTCTGCATGGGCCCCCCCCCCAGGGAGCCTGCTTCTCCTTCTGCCTGTGTCTCTATCTCTTTTGGGTCTCTCATGAATAAATAAATAAATAAAATCTTTAAAAAAAGAGCCCAAGCAGTCAGGCAGTCCAGAGTTTTCGAACTTTGCTTGGGCCACAGAACTACTTTTGGGGATCATCCTGGTTTGCTGTGGGTGGCCAGCAGAATTGTCCTGTCGAGAGCCGGGCCACCAGCTAGAAGCATTGCTGAGTCTTCTGGCCTCTCGCTTGTTTGCCATCAGCCCCAAGATCTCGAGGAAACACGGTTTGGTAACTTACCAGTGAGGCTTATGGGCCCATTTCACAGATAGGGAAGCCGATCCAAGAGGGAAGATGTCTCTTGCCCACTGACTGTGTGTCGGGGGTTGGGTAGAACTGGGATCTGGTGCTTTCTGCAGGAGACCAGCAAGTATATGTCATGGGAAGGGGTACACGCTGAGCAGGGGCTGGTGTTGGGGCTGCAGCTCGCAGAGGGGCAGGCCAGCCTGCAGCACGGACAGAAAAGGAAGGATAAATCTGTCCTCTCTCCTTCTCCCATGGCCATAAGTCCAGCCTCTGACCATGGCAGTAACCACCCCTCCACTTCCACCCGTGGACCCTGCCCTGCCCTTCCCTCCCTGTGCCAGGAAAGGGGAGCCTCGGCCCTGTGACACCTGGGCCTTTGAAGACCCTAGAATAGAGGCCCTTTGACTTCTCCCTTTCTTAGGTTCCCAGACTCCGCCTGCCACAGGGAGGGTGGGCCACATTTTTGCATATTCCTGAGAAACAGTTTGTGTTCCAAGATCCCATGCATCCAGGCCCTGGTGACCATGAGGCCTAAATCCTGGGTTTTCCAGAAACTGAGGTCATGGCTTTTGTCACATTCTCAAATGGGCCTGTGGTCCAAAAAGAAGTCATCACCCCTGCATCAGGAGGGGAGGGGTCTTGCAGAGGAGAGGTGGGGATGGAAGGATGGGGGGGTCGGGGAGAGCTGTGTCAGGGATATCCCCTGCTGGAGCCTTTACATGTTACCTGGTTTTATTTCTCTCACCTACTTGTGATGGAGGGTCCCTGGCTCCATTTTACAGATGAAGAAACTGAGACTCAGTGACATGAGGTAGCTTGCCCCAGACACAGCCCTGAGGGATGGATCAAGCCAGGGCAGGGACAGAGGCCTAGGGTGGTGTTGTATTTGGTTCTACAGCGGCCTTCAGCTCTGGAACCTGGCAAAGCCGGCACTTTAGAAGCCTCCCTTGTGAGCATCCGCACCAGACCCCCGAGCCTCCGCATCTAGGTCCCCAGGAAATTATTTCAGTGGCCAGAGAACCTGACGCAGGGCTTCTCCCCTCTGAGGGTCATTCTTGGGCCCTCCTGTCCATTCCTCTCTAACGAGGAGGGAGCAAAGTGCCCCTACAGTGGCAGGTGGGACCTGGCTGGAGGGTAGGCTTAGGAAGGCTCCCCGCCAGGGCAGAGGGCACGGAGCCCAGCCCCCTCCAGGTCCACCCAGCAAAGACCCTTGCTTTCTTTGTCCTTAGAAATGTCAGCCCCCCAGGACCCCTGGGTGGCTCAGTGGGTGGAGCATCAGCCTTCAACTCAGGTCGTAACTCCAGGGTCTCAGGATCGGGTCCCACATCGGGCTCCCCACAGGGAGCCTGCTTCTCCCTCTGCCTGTGTCCTGCCTCTCTGTGTGTGTGTCTCTCATGAACAAATAAATAAAGTCTTAAAAAAGTGTGAGCCCCCAAACCTCAGGGTAGCATCTCTACCCTCCAGCCTACCTCCTGCCCAACTCACTCCAGTGGTAAATAAGGCAGAGCAATCCCAAAACAGGCCCCGGCTGAGACATAGGCCCACCCCAACATTCCTGAAATTCTTTTTAAAAACATCTTTATTGGGGCACCCCAGTGGCTCAGTCTGTTTAAGTGTCTGCCTTCAGCTCAGGTCATAGTCTCAAAGTCCTGGGTTTGAGCCTCACATCAGGCTCTCTGCTTACCCAGGAGTCTGCTTCTTCCTCTCTCTCTCTCAAAAAACTAAAAGTAAAAATTTTTAAAAAATAATAAAAATTGGGGCACCTGGATGGCTCAGTTGGTTGAGCATCTGCTTTTGACTCAGATCATGATTCCAGAGTCCTTGGATCGAGCCCCATGTCAGGCTCCCTGCTCAGCAGGAAGCCTACTTCTCCCTCTCTTCCCCACTCGTGCTCTCTCGCCATCTCTCTCTCTCAAATAAATAAAATCTTTTTTAAAAAATTTAAAAATCTTTATTATATGTGATTTTTTCCTTTCATTGTTATTGGGATGTAAACTGAGCAATGTGTGAGTTCAAGGCATAGAGCATAATGATTGGCTTACATACGCTATGAAATGATGACCACAGTAAGTTAACATCTTCTCTTGTAGTGAGGGGGGGAATAAAAGAAAAAATATGGTTTTTTTCTTTGCGATGAGAACTTTTAGGATGGGTACTCCCTTAGCATTTTTCACATCTCCTACACCGCAGTGTTAACTCCAGTCTCTTGTTAAACATTCTTGTTAAACACCTGTAAGAAACAGTTTCTTCACCTGTAAATTGGGAATTGCGATGGCCAGCCTACTCGCCTTACAGGGATTTCTAAGAATCACACGGGGAAGGTGTTTGGAAAAGTTCAGGATTCCCCACCGAAATAACTGGGAGTGAATCTGTGCCGAGCCTCACCCATCAGTAACACATTTGGTGTCCTCAGGGTTCTGGACCTGGCCTGGGAGCCTTCCTCCTCTGGGCTGTGCTGGGGCAGCTCCACCTGTGGCTTGGGAGCCTAGGGGCCCACAGGGTAAGGGCAGCAAAAGGGGGTGATGCTTGACTTCCCTGCCCACCCTTGGTGGGCCCCTTGGTCCTCAGGGTGGGCTGGGCCCAGGAATATTTTCATTCCTATCATTGTCTGGTCCGGGCAAGGTACCAAGGTAGGAATAGGAACCACAGCTTCACCCAAGGACAACAGAAAATGCTTTGCTTCTCTAAAGCAGTTAGCGCTGCTTCAAGCTTCCACCAACTTGACTGGTGGGGAAGTCAAGCTTTAGTTATGTTTGGGGAGCCTACCCTTTCCCTGGGTTGTGCAAGAATCTTGGGTTTTACACAGTCCAGAACATTTGGAGTAGGGCCCCTGGGTCCTGATCTACCCTGGTGACTGTTGTTGGCCAAGTCTATGGGGTCCCTTGCTGGTTGGGCAGGGGCATCTGCAGAGGCTCCCAGCTGGGGCTGTCAGTGTGTGGTGCCCCCCCAAACCCTTGTCCCTCCTCGGGCCTGGAGACCCTCTGCCTCCACCCCAATCACCTGTTGTCCTTTCTAAGGGAGCCCTAGTGGTGCTTTCTTCTGGGTGCCTGGCAGCTTCTTTTAATCCCACAATCCAGAACCACCGCCGCCACCAGCCCCTGAGACAAAGGAACACCAAAGTTGGGTCAGCTATAGAAGGAGCAGTAAAAATGATGGCAGAAGCATGGGAAAAACAAATAAATATCAGGACATGATCCTATCACAGAGCTGGGGGATTTACTCTGCATGCAGGTTCCAAAATTTGCCCTCCCTATGTGGAAAAGTAGCCACTACTACCATGGCCTGTACTACCATGCTGGTACCTTTGGCTTCGTACTGGTTTCCAGGGGAGGAGGATGGAGGGTGAGTCTTCATCCAGAGGTTGGAGGGCTTGGGACATACATGCGCTGGGAAGGCATCTTAGAGGGGCTTCCATGGCCCTCTGGACAAGTTCTGTAGATGCTTCCTTGCAGCTGGGAAACCTTCCTGGGGATGGGGGGTCTCCCCCCTGGTTAGGGTGCTGGAGGAGGGGGTGCTAAGCCACCCACAGGGAGCTGTTCTGGGCATGTTGGATGGGACTCGAGAGTAAGGCCTGGCCACCCCTGACCTCTGGGTGACCTCTCTTGCAGGACCTGGGCATGGAGTCGACCTCTCTGGATGACGTTCTATACCGCTATGCCAGCTTCAGGAACCTGGTGGACCCCATCACACACGACCTCATCATCAGCCTGGCGCGCTACATCCACTGCCCCAAGCCGGTAGGGCAGCTGTGGTCAGAGCCAGCCAGGTCTGGGGGTGTGAGGCGGGTGCCTTTCTGGCCAGAGCAGTTCAGTGTCCAAGGAGGGCTGGTGGCTATGGCCCGAGGAGGCCCAAAGAGGACAAGCCACCTCAAGTGGGCAGCCAGCCAGCGGGCCTGAGGTGCCCACCCTGTCCTAAGGCTCAGCACCCATGGCAGGGTCTCACATGGGCACCATCAGCCCACGTTTTGGTTTTTGTTTGGCCTCCCAGTGTATTAAATCCAGATTCCTTGCCAACATTTAAAACTCAGAATATTTCACACATGCTCCATATTCAGCTCCCCTTGGAAAACGGGAAGCTCCAGCAGCATGGAGCCTTCATTCCTATAGGACGAGAGCTGAGTAGCTCCACCCCGGAGCTTTTCCCTCCCATCCCTCAATTTCCAGCAGCTTCCAAAAGAAGCACTTCCCCTGTGGCAGGGACAGGAAGCCAGAGCAGGACCCAGGAGCGCCTGAGGGAAGCTTCTGCTTTCAGAGGAGGAGGATTTAGGATAAGAGGGAAGAGGTGACTGTCAAACCCACCTCCTCACTTGGCCTGAACACAGACTTGAACCTGGTTGCTCAGGGGGGCTCCATTGCTCTGAAGCTGGGCCTCCATCTGGACCTTCATCTAGGGCCTTCTCTCTGGCTTCTGGGGCCGTCTGGCACCAAGACTTAGGTGAGGAGCCAGCTCTGAAGGGCTGGGAGCCAGTCGGGGCCAAGCACGGGGTGGGTTGGGGTTGGTGGTGGGATGCCGCAGAAGCCAGGAATGCTGAGCTCAAATATGTGATGGTAAGAAAAAGCTCGTAGTGGGGTTGGCAGGCTGGGGAAGAGCGGCTGCTGCCAGGAGCTGTAGGAGAATCAGCTGGGCCTGGAATCACCTCCACTTCTCATTCAGATTGTACCTGGCTCAGCCCAGGGAAGCTGGGAGCAGCGTCTGTAGGCTTCGCAGGTGCCAGACCTCTGCCTTTTCTGGAACGGGATTTGAGATGCCCACAGGTGAAGGGGTGACAGATCACAGGGCCCTCAAAGCAGCTCTATAGGAGAGATGTTATTTTTATGCACATTTTAGAGTTGGGGAAGACCAAATTCAGGTAATGATGTAATCTGATGAAGGTGACCCCCACAGTTATGATCTGGGCCTCAGTTCCGGGCAGGGTGCGGGTGCTGTCAGTGCTCTGGTGGGGCTGGTAGGGCTGCATCGGGGCCAGACGAGGAGGCCCGTGGGGGAGCGGGAAGGAGAGGTGGCCCCAGGGGTTCTGTCTGGACTGAGCTCCATCCCCTTCGGTGGGGACCACGGGGTGGGGGGGGCACACCCGGGTTGTCTGCGCTCAGGCTGCTACAACACGTTACCACTGCCAGGGGCCCTTGTAAACAACAGTAATGTCTTGCTCCCAGTTCTGGAAGCCAGGAATCCAAGGTGCCCACATGGCACGGTTCTGGTGAGAGCCCTCCTCCGGGTTTGCAGACGGCTGCCTCCTCGTGGTGGCTTCATGGGGGGGTGGAAAGCAAGCCAGCTGGCTCTCTGGCTTCTTCGTTTAACCCTTGTGACCTCTTCTAATCCTGCTTAACCCCCTAAAGGCCCCACCTCCAGACACCATCACACCGGGATGGGGTCCCCACCACAGGTTGGGGCGACAGAGTCAGACATTGGGTCCACGGCATGGGTGTTGCTTTCTCGGGTCACTTAATTAGCTGAACTTTGTTTTCTTCAACTCCAAAGGCCCATGACAACACCCTCCCCTGTAGAGCCATTTTGAGAGTTCAGTGAGCTGATTCAGGAGAAGCTTCCAGAAGCTCAGGCATTTGTACCGTGTAGACGGAAGCTAAGGTTTACCTGGTCACTGAGCACCCACCATGTGCTAAGCAGGGTGCTCAGACTTAGCAGGTCCGTGGTGAGATCCTGAGGCAAGGTTGTGGGCTCAGAGTCTTGGAGAATTAGGGGCCGGCCTCTGATTTCCAGATTTCCAGAGCCAGCCAGTGGTGTCAGCCATGTTGGAGGCCCGGCCCTGTTGGAACCGGCCAGGCTGGTTCCCTTAACCATACCCATAGGCCAGGTGGCAGGAGAGGCCCTTCAAAAGGACTCTCCTGGTTGTGGTTGAGGCCAGGGTGGGAGGTCCTGACTCTGGGGCCCCCAAACTGGTGTTAGGGGAAGCCCGGGCCCCCACCCCAAAACGTGAGCTGGCTCGGGGCTGGCCAGGAATTCCTGTTCTTGGCTCTTTCATCTGAGAAGCCCAGATCATTCCAAGTGTGGACCTTGAGGTTACTATAGACAGAGATGCCAAGACTCTCAGCTAGGAGGCAACGTTTCCCTCAGCTGTGACATGAGACAAATAAGTAGACCTTCCTGGTCCAATCTGTTTCAGCATCCAGTAGACAAATAACCCCACAACTAAGATGACCCCCTCAAATGAGTCCCAACCTACCAAAAGCCCTCTCCTGTGTGCCAGCTGGATGTGGGCCCAGGCCCTAGAAAATGTGCATCTGTGCGTGTCCCCAGAAGGAGGACGGTCAAAACCCCATCGTGCCCATGACTCTGTGCTGATAAATCCATAGCCAAGCTTCAAGCTCAGAAGTCACCCACCTCTTTTTTTTTTTTTTTAAGATTTTGTTTATTTATTCATGAGAGAGACAGAAACGTAGGCAGAGGAAGAAGCAGGTTCCCTGCGGGGAGCCTGATGTGGGACTCGATCCCAGGAACCCAGGATCACGCCCTGAGCCGAAGGCAGATGTTCAACCACTGAGCAACCCAGGTGCCCCATTTAGGGGCAATTTTAGAGACTCCTTCCTTCCCTGCACCCCAGCTCCAGCCCCACACATCCCTTCATGTCTACAGTCAGGGTCCCCACGAGCAGACGCTAAAATGAGGGTGTGTGTACAGCGATTTGTTGGGGAGGTGCCCTGGGGAGGCCAGGCCAGCCCAGGCTCCATCCTGGGGAGGGCAAGCAGCTTCCACCTGGTTCCTCAAGGCAAAGGGCTGGGCTTTCAAACCCCCGCACTGGCCAGAGTGAGGGGCTCTCCCTGAGGAGGTAAGTTCCCAGGCACTCCTGTCTCCTGATCAGGTCTTGATCTCAGAGTCCTGGGATCGAGTCCTGCATCAGGTTCCCCACAGCGAGCCTGCTTCTCCTTCTGCCTATGTCTTTGCCTCTCTGTGTGTGTCTTGCATAAATAAATACACAAAATCTTAAAAAAAAAAAAGATGGGCACCCACCACAGAGCAGGACAGGTGCTGGTCCTCCGGGCAGAAGTACACCAAAGGAGGGAGGGTCACAAAATTGGAAAAAGTGGATCCAAATGATTTGAATGGAGCACCCATGTTGTCCACCACAACCAGCAAGTCCCAACAGCCCTCATTCCCTAGTGTGTTGGGGTCTCTCAAAGGCCCTTCTGGTCCCCACATCCTCCTCCTTGAGGCTACTGGCAGAGCCTCCAGTGGGACTCTGGGCCTCCACTCCTGCCTCCCTGCCCTCTGTGCTCTGAGAGCAGCCAGAGAGGAATCTGCAAGGTCAATTGGATCACCTAAGTACCTCTCTGAGAAACCTTCCATTGTGTCGTAGTTTCACTAAAACCCAAACTCCTTTTTTTTTTTTTTGAAGATTTTATTTATTTATTCATGAGAGACACACAGAGAGAAGCAGAGACACAGGCAGAGGGAAAAGCAGGCTCCCCGCGGAGAGCCCAATGTGGGACTCAATCCCAGGACCCCGGGATCATGACCTGAGCTGAAGGCAGATGCTCAACCACTGAGCCACCCAGATGCCCCCTCTCAGAACCTTCAGTGACCAGCCTAGCTCACACGGCTCTCCCATGCCCTGTTTACGGCTTCATTTCACTCACTGGTCTCCCACGCAATCTTGCTTATTTATTTGTCAGCTAACATATTGTCTGCCTTCCCCATAAGACTATCAGTTCCAAAGGGACAAGAGATGGCATCTGTCTTGCTCACAACTACATCTTGCATCACGCAGGGCCCTGGCGGGAAGCAGGCCAACACATTCCATTGTGAATTTTTGAGAATTTAATAATGGGACTCTTTCCACGGTTGTGGGCAGGAGAAAGGAAACCAGTGGGGGATATTGAGACACCCAAAGACAAGCGGCAGCAGGAAGTTGTTACCACAGAAAGGGCCTTGGGTGCAAGCCATGACACCAGAGCCATGAGAACACTTTTTCCAGCACCATGCTGTATTTTCTATTGCTGTGTAACAAATGACCTCAGAATTTAGTGGCTTAAAACAATAGACATTGATCATTGTGTAGTCTCTGTAGCCTAACCTAGGTAATTCTAGCTTAGGGTCCCTCGCGACAGCAGCCAGGGCTGCAAATATCTACCAGTTTGGTGGACAGTGGCAGGCCCCCTTCCGGGCTGGCACACCCCCTGGCTGCTGGCAGGAAGCCTCAGTTTCTTGCCACATGGGACTGTGGCATAGGACCGCTGGAGCTTCCACACACACATCGTGGCAGCTGGCTCATTATCCTAGAGCAAGTGATCCAAGAAAAGAGCAAGGCAGACACACACCTAGATCTTCTACGACCTAGCCACATCCTAGGTCACCCAGATCAACCCTGATAAGGCGCCCAATCTCCCCAGACTCGCACCATACTCCCCTCTCCTTACTTTTCCTTTTCCATGGGCGGGGGAGAAAAAACTGCAGAATTAATTCCACACACTGCCTTTTTTTTTTTTTTAAGATTTTATTTATTCATGAGAGAGAGAGAGAGGCAGAGACACAGGCAGAGGGAGAAGCAGGCTCCCCGCAGGGAACCAGATGGGAGACTTGATCCCAGGATCCCGGGACCATGCCCTGAGCCAAAGGCAGACGCTCAACCACTGAGCCACCCAGGCGTCCCACACCCTGCCTGTGAGCCTGCGGTGTGGACTGGGGCTCTGTTGCCAGGAGCACAAGTCCAGGGGCACTGCCTCAAGCTGGGAAGAGAATTTATCCTGATACCATGAGGTCTTCTTGGGCCCCAAAACAGCCGCGCTTGGAGGAGGGGCTAGAGGTACAGATGAACTGCAGTAGCAGACATCGCTCCATCCGTTTTCTGGGCTGCACTACCCCGGGCCACAACTCTGCCAGGGCACCCCGTGGGTGTCTAGACCCTGAGCAGGCGGGGGGGGGGGGGGGTGTTGGTGCGGGGGTGCGTCTGGTGTGCAGGAAAGGTCTGATTGGCTGCCTCTGCCCATGCCTGCTTCTGGACCAATCTGCTGCAGCTTGGGCTGGGGTCTGGCTGCACCGAGGGGCCTGCGGGTGCGCGCAGAGCGCGTGCAGGGCACACGGACCGGGTAACTTGCGGTCCCGGTGGTCCGACTCCTCCGCCAAGGTTTCGCAAGGGGCGCGTGGCTACTGTTTCTGGAAACCACGCAGAAACGACACTTCCTCCTCCTCCTCTGCCTCCACCGTGCCCTTCAGCCCCTGCCTCCGCCACCCTCTCCTGCTCCAGCGCCGAGCCAGCCCTGCTTTGACCTCTTCTGCGCGGGAGGGGGGTGGGTTTCGAAAAATCCAGGGAGTTGGGGGGAAATTAGAGGGGCTTGCTTAAGGCTTTTGCGGGTGCAAATGATAGAAACACTTGGAACCCACCAACCAAAAGATTGATCACCGTGGGGGCGGGGAGGGGGACTTGGGTGGCTCAGTTGGCTGAGCGTCCGCCTTCGGCTCGACCTGATCGAGCCCCGCCCGCATCGGGCTCCTGCGCAGCTTGGTTGGGGGGGAGGGGTCTGCTCCCTCTCCCTGTGCCCTTCCCCCCAGCTCATGCTCGCGCTCTCTCAAATAAATAAATAAATAAAATCTTTTAAAAAAAAGATTTGTCACTGGGAGGGCAGCGCAGGGCGAGATGGCCGGTTAGGAAGGATGCCAGCCCCAGAGCCGGCTTTGCGTCCTGATCCCATCCTACAAGCTCGTGGGGCCTCAGTTCCCTCACTTGTAAAGCGGGGTCACAGGAGCGCGGGTTCGTGGGGTTGTTGTGAGCTCCAGGATTGCGAGGAGCTGGTGCGTGCCGCCCGCACCGGCGACGCGTCCCCTAGCAGATGCGCGCCCGGGGTTGGCTGTCGTTCACGGAGCCCAGACAGACGGAGGGGAGGACAGCGGCTCACGGCGTGTCTCAGATCGGCTGTGAGGTGAGCGTGTCTATTGTCCCTGTCGCTGAGGGAACAGGCTTGCTCGGTCTCCGGCCGGGAACGGCCCTGCGCGGTCCGCCCTTGCCTCGCCTTGCACCCCGCTGCCCCCTTGCGGCGGTGCCCGCGCCCTGCGGCGGCTGCTTTGCCGCCTTTTCCTCTTTGTTTCTTGGTCCGCCGCCCAGCGGCTCGCGCCCAGAGGGTGGCCCCGGACTTTGGAAGCCCTGGGAAGTGGTTGGAGGAGGAGCGGAGGCTGACGAGCTCGGTTCTCAGCTTTGGAGCGGGTGCTGTGGGAGAGTGACCCTGTTCTGGGCGCCCGGGTGGTCTGGGGAGTGAGGCTGGGCTGGCCACCCAGTCCCACCCCCCTTCATCCTTGTCTCTGAACTGGTTGGAACTGGTGCTTCTTCACCCTGGAGACACTGGGGAATCATCTGTGGAGCTTTTTTTAAAAAAATCCCTTGGGGATCCCTGGGTGGCTCAGCGGTTGAGCTTGAGCGTCTGCCTTCGGCTCAGGGCATGATCCCGGGGTGCTGGGATCGAGTCCCACGAGTTCCTTGCAAGGAGATTGCTCTCCCTCTGCCTGTATCTTTGCCTCTTTCTGTGTGTGTCTCTCATGAATAAATAAATAAAATCTTTAAAAAAAAAAAAAATCCCTGCATGCATGCTGCCCACCCATGCTGGTGGGGCCCAGTCAGTGCACCATCTCTGCTGTCACATCCCATCCTCCCTTTGGCCTCCAGAGTTGGCCTTCACCCTGGCCCCCACCATGACCGCCCCTCCCTGAGCCTCTTCTGGCCAAGGCCTCCTCACTGGAGTCCCTCCAATCCTTCTTTTCCTTGGTGCCCATGGCTACACTGTGCCTTCATTCATCCCCTTGGGCCTGGTGTGGCCTCTCCCTGGCCCTTGCTTTATCCCCAATTCCTTCCGTGGCCATGGGGTTTAATCGGAGGGTGATGATGTCTTGAGCCCCAGCCTCACAAATCCCTCAGGAGGGGTCCACGTGGCTGCAAATGAGCCAATTATTCCCCTGTCCTGCCTTCTCCTCCCCTTCTCTCCTGGAGCCCCTTGCCTTCTCTCCAGGTCCCCAGCCCTAAGCCTGGATCCTTCCTCATCCCCGCCCTGCCCATACCTGCTCCATCCTGAGCACTGTTGGTCAAGTGTGGTGGCCCCCGTCACTTTCAGGGCTTTCTGCAGGCCTGGCAGGGAGCCCCAAACTGCACAAAGCAGTTCAGGGCCAGGCCCATCTGGCCCTGAACTGCTTTGTTGGAGGGACAGTCCCAAAATGCAAACTGTTCTCTCTTGGAGCCCCTGCCCGCTTCTCCTGCTTCCCTTCACATACACTCAGAACAAATCTAGAATCAGAACATGGCAACTCAGGTCACCAGGTCGCCTAAAGTGACAGGTGACATCAGACAGGCAGGCGTAGGCAAGAGGAAGTGAGGTTCTTGGAGAACCAGAGACCATTGCTGTCTATACCAATTCCATTCAGGTTTGAGCCTCTGTCTCCTGGATCCCTGCTCAGAAGCTTCACCTCTTTGGATACTCAACACCTACCTCTTCCCTCTCCTGTCTCTGCCCTCAGGGTCTTCTAGCCTTTCCACCAGCCCCAGTCCTGCTGTCTATGCTTCAGTTCCCTCCTCTGTAAAATGGGGATAATGAAAGTAGTTCTGCTCTGGGGTGTTGTGGGAATTCCGTGAAGTCCTAGTGTATTGTCCATGTGCAGCAACCCAGGTGACAGACGATAGAGGCTTGAACTAAAGTGGTGGCCATGGAGGTGGTGAGAGGTGAGCAGACCCCCCAGATTGCCACCTGCTCCCGCACCTGTAACAACACCCCCCCCAACACCCAAACCTTTGCACATTTCCTCCTCACTCAGGAGATGCCTCTTATATCGTCTTTCCTCTTTCCGTACAAAAATCATAAACCTATCAGCCCTTAAAAGCCCAATTCATAGGTGCCTGGGTGGCTCAGTCTGTTAAGCATCTGCCTTCAGCTCAGGTCATGATCCCAGAGTCCTGGGATCAAGTTCCGCATCGGACTCTGCGGACTCTGCTCGGTGGGGAGTCTGCTTCTCCCTCTGCCCCTCCTCTGTGTTTGTTCTCTCCCTCTCCCTCTCTCTCTCTCTCTCAAAAATAAATAAAATCTAAAAAAAAAAAATAAAGGCCCAACTCACTTGGGAGGAGTAATCCTCCTTTTCCCTGCCAGGGCATTCTTCGAGAGCTTACTATGTGCTGAGCCACAGTCACAGCACTCCACAAGGAGTGACTCATTTTGTCCTCAGAAAATCCCCTGTGAGTTGGGTTCTGTTATCCCTTCATACAGGAAGATTGAAGGTCAAGTGACTTCCCAAGGTCACAGAGGAGGTAACGAAGCAAGGGTTCACATCTACACGGTTTGGCTCCGAGTCCATGCTCTTACCTACTCAGTATGCTGTGTCTCCATTAGCACGGTGATGATGGTAGCAACCATCAGGCTGGCCTTTACTGAGCGCCCACTGTGTGCCAGGCACTGGATGCGGGTTAATGGTTGAACCTCACCGGATCCAGGTTTCTCTCCAAATGCAGGTTTGCATCTGAGCCCTGGCACTTGCTGGCTCTTGGCTCTTAGCACTGGGCCACTGGGCAGGAGCGCATGCTGTTGGCCCCCCACCCCCGGGGCTTGGTGACTGTCTATTGACAGCCCTCTCATGGCTCATGGGACAGAGGTGGGGTCTCTCTAGCATGTCTTTGCCACACCCTTTAACCCAATATAAGTTTGTTAGGGCCACCATAACAAAATACCACTTAAACAACAGAAATGTATTTTCTCCTAGTTGTGAAGGCTGGAAGTCCAGGATCAAGGTGTTGGCAGGACTGGTTTCTTAAAGGCCTCTCCTTGGCTTGAAGATGGCCGTCTCCTCCAGGGTCCTCACATGGCCTTCCCTCTGTGCGTGTGTGTGTCCTATGGGCTTTTCATGAGGACACCAGTCATATTGGATTAGGGCCCACCCAGAAGATGGATGAATTGCACTGGAAAAGACTTGGACTCCTCATTCATTAAGTTTTCCCACTGGAGGCATCATAAAAATATTTCTCTTTGCTATGTGAAATACAAGAGAGAGAACAACTTCTAGGACAATTGCCTAGAACAATTGCCGGGCACCTGGTAGGGGCTCAGTCAACATTTGTGGAGCAATCAATGAGCAGAATGGCCCTGGCCTCTGGGGAGAGCCTGGGACCATGATGAATCCTGGCTCAGGGGTCAGCCAGCACTCAGCTCTGGTCAATTGTTGTCAGATTGCCTGGAATTTAGGGTTTTATATAAATCTCAGTTGTGCCATGAAAGCAGCTAGTTCACAGAAATTGGAGCCATGGTGCATTTTAGTTTGCGACCAATGGCTTTCTGCTAAGGGGGGCCCCCTGAGAGCCAATAGAACAAACAGGCCTCCCCCAGCTCAGCCTGGGTGTGCGCCCTTCCCGTGGAGACAGGAAGCTGGAGTTGAGGGCCTGGTGTCCCCTGCCTGTCCCAGGGAACTCAGGGTCCTGCCGCCTGTGGTTGCCTCTGCAGGAAGGCGACTCGCTGGGCGCCATGGAGAAGCTGTGCCGGCAGCTGACATACCACCTCAGCCCCCACTCCCAGTGGAGGCGGCACCGGGGGCTGGTGAAGAGGAAGCCGCAGGCCTGGTGAGTCTCTGTCACCTGAGCTGGATCTACCCTGCCTCCCCTTCCCCCCCTTCCCCCCTCCTCTGGCCTGGTGTCCAAAGGCAGCCCAAAAGGGATCCATGGCCGGCTGGGCATGCGGCACACAGCACTCCCTCCTAGCTCTGAGGGAGGGGCTGGAACCAGAGCGGTTGTCTTGGAAGGTGCCTGAAGGAGGTGAGCTTGAAGGAGAACTCAGGGTTGGGTAGGGAGAGCAGCCAGGGGAGCATTCCAGGTGGGCATGCTGGAGGGGATGTCCCCTGAGGGGAGCTGTTCTTGGGGCCCTGGTCTGGATTGGGAGCTGGGGACTATGGGCCCGTTCAGGAGGGATGGGAAGACATGATTGGGCACTGCCACTGAATCCGCCACTTCTCCTGAGTGTCTCCTATGGGGACTCGGACCCCAGCCATGGCCCTGGGCCACGTGGCAGTGAGAACCCTCAAAGATTTTATGCCCCCCTGAAGATTGGGGGGGCACATGGGACACAGAACCAGCGGGCATAGCACCTTTGGAAGCAAGTGAAAGGGAGCCTGAAAGTCAGGCTTTCTGGAGGGAGTACCCCTGCCTTTCTTGCAAAGGACCATGGGGCAGAGTGGCTTGTGTCCTTCCCAAGGGCTGGGCAGGGGCAGAGCTGCCCTCCCTTGCTGATGAGAGCCCTGGTTCTTCTTTCCCTTCTGGATTCCTCCACCCAAAGGCAGGAGAGGAGCGTTTCCAGGTGGAGGAAGAGTGAGGCTCTCATGAAGCTCAGAGATGGGCTCCAGGCGGGCTCAAGTCAGGAGTTGTACGTGGGGTCAGAGCAGGTGGAACCTGGAAGGCCCCGAGGAGTCCGGGATGACCTCAGTCTTTAGGATTGAACAGCTAGAAATGTGAGCTCGGCAGGAGTCCAGGAGCTTCCTCTTCTGCCTCCCCAACACAATGCATACTTTGTTCTTTCAAAAGCCTCTCTCCCAACGGGGTGGCCCCTTCCTGTCACACTTGAATGAAGTGTGAAGAGGGTCCTCTGCGGTGGACGCTCGGGCCCTCTCTGGTCGCTCACCTCCCATTTTCCCTCACTGCAACCATGCTGGCCTTTCTGTTGGTTCACAGACACCAAACTTTCTGTCTGAGCCTTTGCCCATGCCCGCCCTCTGCTGGAACTTTTATCAGACTTTTCTGTTAGCCCACTTTTTCTTCAAATGTCAGCTCAAATTAAGTCCTGACAGAAGCCTTCCCTGAGTAGCCATGTCCAAGCTACTCTCACTTCAGAGTCTTATTTCTTGTCTCCCCCCTCGTAGAGTACAAACGGGGATCTTGTCCATCTTGTCCACTACTATGACCTCAGGGCCTAGGATAGTGCCTGGCATATAGTGGGAACAAGGTAGGGGACATTAATGTCACCGTTTGGCCATGATCACCCAGCTGCTAAATGGCCAGGTTGGATTCAAACCCCAGACTCAGGTTGTTAACCACGTACTAGGTGTAATGGATCTGGATTAACGACATTGACAATAGCCAGGACTTCAATCACACTGAACACATGCCAGGCAGTGTTTTGAGCACTTAGAGGTCATGCCCTGGGAGGAAAGATGAGGAAATTGTAAGTAGCCTTTTGGTTCCACATCTGAAGGATAGAGACTTAACATTTTTTTGACAAAAGGAAGTCCAGGCTGTGAACCCCCTCCACCCTCCTCTCCTTCCCACCGCTGGGGCCCCAAGGTTTGCCTGGGTACCTGGAAATGGGGAGCCCTGGCCGCAGAGCAAGGAGCAGGAAGAAAGAAGAGGAAGGAATAGCAGATGGTAGAGAGTGGAATGGGGTGCAGAGCACTGAGCTCCCAGCAGGCAGCTGCTACCATCCTAGGTTCAGCGCCCCTGTGGGCTCCCCCCGCCCCCAGCTCACCTGCTGTCCTACAGGGCTCTCCCTAAGGACTCCCCATCTGGTGGGCAGGATTGTGTTGAAAGGCCTCAAGAGACTTTGTGCTGCTCTTGGGGAAACAGGAAGCTCAGTCTAAGTGGTTAATAATGACAACAGCAAATATTCATTCATCGCTCACATATACAAGGCACCGTCCTAAATGCTCTGCATCTGTTACCTCATTTCACCTAACAATTCTGTGGGACTCCAATTAGCTCCATTTTTCAGGTATATCACTGAGACAGAAGCTAAGGACTGATGAGAGCTCAGGCGAATAGGAGGAAGAGTTAAAATGCAAACCAGGCACTCTGGCTCCAGAAATTACCCTTGGTCACGGCAGAAACATCTGGGCCTTTCTCTCACGGTCCCTCAGGCTCTAGGCAGCTGGGCTCAGCTGGGCTCAGCCAGGCTGAGATGGGAGGTAGTGGCCAGGGGATCAAAAGTCCTCAGTTGCTGGCATCCCTGGAGTTGCAGAGCATGGGGGAGGCTGGCCCCACTTGCTTGAACTTGGCTTAAAGTCCCTTCTCCCCTCCAGCCTCAAGGCTGTCCTGGCTGGGAGCCCTCCAGACAACACCGTGGACCTGTCAGGCATCCCGCTGACCCCCCGTGACCTGGAGCGGGTGACCAGCTACCTGCAGCGCTGCAGGGAGCAGGTGGACAGCGTGGAGCTGGGCTTCACGGGCCTCACAGACGACATGGTCCTGCAGCTGCTGCCGGCGCTCAGCACGCTGCCCCGCCTCACCACCCTAGCTCTCAATGGCAACCGGCTAACCCGGGCCCTGCTGCGTGACCTCACTGACACCCTCAAGGACCCCAGCAAGTTCCCCAATGTCACGTGGATCGACTTGGGCAACAACGTGGACATCTTTTCACTGCCCCAGCCCTTCCTGCTCAGCCTGCGCAAGCGCTCCCCAAAACAGGGCCACCTACCCACCATCTTGGAGCTGGGCGAAGGCCCGGGCAGTGGGGAGGAGGCCCGGGATGAGACAGTGGACCAGGAGGACCCTGGGGGAGGCCCCCTGGATCCTGCCAAAGACCTTGAGGGCAGGGAGACTGTAGGTGCAGTTCAGACATGACACACAAGTGGGAGAAGTGGGAGTCCTCACCAGGGAGTCCAGGTGGGGTAGGATGACTGTGGCAGGCTAGGAGGCCCAGCAGAGGCCTCAGGCAATCACCCAAAATTGGCCTGGGCAGCCCCACTCACCTGAGCCAGACTGTAGCATCTGGGAAGGGGTTGTCCTCTCCATTTCCCCCCATCAATTTCAATCTGCCTTCTGGCTCCTGAGAAATCATCTGTGGCTTGAGAGGCAGCAGTCCCTCAGCCTCCCCAGATTTGTGGGTGGTGCTTGGAGATGCTCAAAGCTTGAGCTAAGTTAAGAGCTTATCCCCAGGAGGAGTTCAGTTCCAGCCCTCCATCTAACCCAGTTACTTCCTGATAGGGTAGAACCTTTTTTCAACAGACTGGAGGTTGGAGTAGGAGTGGCTCCCCAGGGACTCCAGGAGCCTAGTCCCCACCTGAAGTGTAAGCGGGTGTACCTCCTGAGGCCCTGGGGGCTCAGAGGAACCACTTCCTAGTCTCATCCTCCACCTGGGATTCCAGGCCCTGCCCCTAGCACCCTTCAACAGAGCATCCTAGGATAGGAAGGTCCACCCAGAAACCACACCAACTCCCTACCCAGCCAAAGACTACCAGACCTTCTTCACTAGGGCTGCATAGTTGCAAATGAGCTCAAGTCAGAGTACTTCCCTTCAAAGGTTTTTAAAGACCTTTATCCTTAGTTTCTTCTTATGGAGTCCCCAAAGAGTACATTCCCAAAAACCTACTCTGGAAGGCTCCTAAAACCGAATAGGTCAAAACTTAGTTTGGTGGACTTCGTGCCTCCTAGCAAGAGCTAGGAGATGGGGAGAAACTGGAGTTCCCAAAGGGTGGTAGCCACTCAGGCAAAGCTGGCAACATGGCCTAAAGGGCCTCTAGGATCAGGACAGGTATAGGCAAGATCGCAACTCAGGAAGGCCAACAGGACAGGGGCTGAGGTAAAGAGCCAGACTATGCGACCTTGCCTGCCACTGCACAAGTGTTTGGCCAAACCGCATAGAGCTTCAGGAGGTAGGCTATGCACAAAAGGACACGGCCCAGAGGCAGACTGGAATCAAAGGTGCGGATGCCTTAAATGCTTTGGAACTTTTACCCTCAAGTCTAAAGTTGTAAAAGGGGAAAACTGACTGACCATGGAGAAGTTGACAAGTGCTAATACCTGGACTGCTCATCTGACAGCAGCAACCAAAATTTTTTTTCTTCAAATACACGTTTTTAACAACCAGTACTAAAGACCATTCTTTATTGCAGTATTGGCTTATGGTGATTACATGGAAATATTAGTCTCAGTAGTAAGTTTCCAGCTTAAAGAGAACCTTACCCAACAGAACAAATTCTTACAAGTAAACACAAAAGCTGTTTGCACAAAGGAGTTGAGAAGGCTACAATATTTGTAATACGTTACTAAAAAACTCAATTTAATGACACCAACATTGCCTATCCTAAGAAAATGTTGCCAAACACATTTGTTGGCTCTGCCATTAAGAGAATGGCCTCTATGAATCCCAGCACAAGGTAAGCAGTGTTTCCACAAACTGCTGAAGCTGGGTTTTCAGTCCAAACTGACGGTGACCACTGGTCCTTGAACCTTTGAAGTTCTTCCCCTGCTGCAGCAAGGCTGAGCATGCTCTAGGAAAATAGCCTGCAAAAGAAACTAAGTATCAACTTCATTTTCTACTCCAACCAATAGTTATTCACAGCATTAACAAGGTTATCTTCAGAAAACCATTACATTCACCACTATACAATCTGCCGGTAATTCCAGCTATTTTGGGTGATCTCATCATTTGATATCCCTTTTTCTGAGAATTAAAACCAGCCAGCTATTTTTGTTCTATCATGGGGAGAGGGTGCTTGTCCAGATGGAAGCTTACCTCTTCTTGGGCTGCAGCTTTAAAACTCCACACTGCTGACCACCATTCTGGAGAACTTCAACACACAAAACCTGGAGGAATGAATGAAGGCACCCCTAAGAGGTAGCAGATGGCAAAGGCAGAATAGGACCGTTTTGATCACGATAGCCTCAACTACAAATTCCAGTTCAATCCAACAGGGGCACTGAAAAGCCATCTAAGCCCCCCAAGTCCTAACTGGCTTCTCTGAGTGTTGCAGCCTCATTTTGTCCCATCATTTTCAACATCACAAATCTAAAACGATGATCTTCATGGATGAGGAAGACTCAGCTGTTAGGCAGTTTGCTCCAAATTATACAGCAGGGAGGTAAAAAGAATTGCTGGGTTCCCTCTGCACTCTGCTCCAGTCACCGTGAACCATAATCATCAATCAGTATTAGGGTACCATCAAGAAGGGTGACACAGATACAAGCTATCAGGGTTCACCACATAAAAGTGTATCTGACCCTACCCGAACTTGACCTCATCTGACAGCTATGCAATCTGTCCCACAGACCGAAGTTTACCTGGAGGCAGGTCAGCGCTCACACTCCAACACTCCACTGCTGGTGACCTGATCACACTGGCAACCGCACACGCATCTGCAATCTGGGCGAATAGAGGGGGCAAAAGGGTCACTGTTCAAACCCTCCTATTCCAGAGCACCCGCAGCCGGGGAGGACTTGTCGACTGCAGTCAGCCAGGAAAGGTTATCGTCAGTTATCGCTTCTGACGGCACTTCCTATAAGTGATTTCATCAGAGCAGTCAACACCTCCCACTCCCCAGGACTGCTCCAGAAACCTGGAGGGTCCTTGCAATTAAGCCCAAAGTGGTGGTTTTAAACGAGAATCATCTTAACCCAGTTTATTTCGAGATACAACTGCAGCTGAAATAGTTCGGGGGTTAGGAGCAGCCACCTGCCAAGTTCTCCTTGAGATCCCTTGCGATGGGGGTGGGGGGTAGCGCGCACAATTTACTGCCCAAGGCGCCAAATCCAGTGCATTTAAGCTAAAAGGACGAAAAAACAAAACCCTGCCACCGAGTCCTACCTCAGGGTGGGATGCCGATCCCCGCTTGAAGGCGCTGCAGGCCGTCGGCTGCCTGGAACATGGCCGGCGACACGCGTTAAGGGCAGGTTCTGCAGGGACACGTTCATCTAGACCGAGGAGGCTTCAGAGGCATAAAACTCATCAGTCACCGCTTCTGACGGCTATTCCCAAACCCAGTATCATCAGGACAGTCGGGCCAGCCCTCCTCGTATTCCCATTATGAGCCGCGGCCCCCGCGTGCAGCCCGACTCGCACTTACCCACGCCTCCGGGGTCGGTGCACTCCCCACGCCGGGTCCGGGGAGCGGGGGGCCGGTCTTCGGGAACCTCGGGCTCCTCACACGGCGGCGGCGCTGCCAGACAAACACGCGCGCGGGCTTTGAGCCTCGGCCCCCGGCGGCCCTGCGCAACTCTCCCCCCATACACCGCCGCAGCCCGGGAGCTCGGCGACGCCCCTTAACGAGCCGCTCTCCGCCCCCCGAAAATTTCCTCCCAAGAATTAGGACGCCTCTAGGCTCCTCCACCTTTGCAGCCAAATACCACGCTCACCTACAGAGACCACATACCTCCATTATCGCAATAACGAAAAGGTCGCTTGAGCCGCGTCCCCGGCCTTTAAGGAGTCGGAACGTCCCATTCCGCGCAGAAGGGAGGGTAACACTAGCAAAGCCTCACGGGAACTTCCTGCCCATTTGACGGGGCAGACTCCGCCTCACCACGCCGGCCCCCCCTCCATTAGAGCCTATGGTCTCTTCCATGGACCCGGGAATTCTGGGTCCCTCAGCGACGGGAGGGTCCCAGGGCGCATGCGTGGGGGCTGGAGCTCGGTTGTGAAAACCCGTCGCTGCCAAGCTGCGTGGTTTGGACCAAGATTCTCTGCCTTTGTGAGCTTTCCGATTGCTCACGTGGTCAGGAGAGCTACCGGCACGGCAGACGTTGTTCTGAGGATCGCATGCGACGTCAAGCGTGAAACCCTGTGTAGTCTTGGCAGGCAGCGAACATTCATAAAATAGCTGCTTCTAATTCTTGCTGCCAGGCTGCTCTCCCCACAGCTCTTGCAGAGTATCCACGGAGCCTCTCCGAACCCCTGCGCGCCGACAGCTCTCCGCCTTTGGAGAATGACCTCTAAGGAGCGAGCAGAGGTCTTGGATGGGTCCACTTCCGTCCTCTCCCCGCCCCCCCCTTCTCTCCTGATTTCCACTCCACCATCTCGCCAGCCATGGGAAACCTCTCCCTCTCCGCAGATGCTCTCCTTTCAGCCTTTGAACACGTTCAGGGTCTCGCCCCTTAAAAACGATTCAAAGCATGCGCATTTTATAGACAGTACAAGGGAGACCAAGCAATTCGTTTGGACTGGAGAAAACTGGAAGAGCTATAGCGAGACAACTTTTCAGCTGGTCTTAGAATTTTAAGGATTTCATTTTATTTTTAAGATTTTATCTATTTATTCATGAGAGACACTGAGAGGCAGAGACACAGACAGAGGGAGAAGCAGGCTCCCTGCAGGAAGCTGGATGCAGGACTTGAGCCAGGCACTCAGGGATCACGCCCTGAGCCAAAGGCAAACGCTCAACCACTGAACCATCCAGGAGTCCCAGAAATTTTTTTTTCCAAGATTTTATTTACTTATTCATGAGAGACACAGAGAGAGAGGCAGAGACACAGGCAGAGGGAGAAGCAGGCTCCATGCAGGGAGCCCGATGTGGGACTCTATCCCCGGACCCCAGGATCAGGCCCTGGGCAGAAGGCAGGCGCCAAACCACTGAGCCACCCAGGGATCCCCAGGTGTCCCAGAATTTTAAGGATTTTAATGGCAGGGCAGGTGCTTCCAGTAAGAGCCAAGTCCTGTGGTCAAATGCGCAGGCCCATCAACTGGCTTGAAGAATTTAGTAAAAGTGCTAAGGAGAGCAGGGGGCAACAGGTGTATGGGGGAAAAGGTGTCTGGAAATTTGGGAGCAAAACCGTGGAGGACTGGGGATGCCACCTGGCGTGTCCTGTGGGCACTGGAAGAGCCTCTTAAGCCTTTGGAGGCATAGCAGTAATGTGTTTGTCTTCCATTCTAGGAAGGTCCCTCCAGCTGCCCTGCAGAACAGCTTGGAGGGTTAAGAACGAGCCCATAGCCCAGAAGGGAGAGAAACCAATAATCCAGAGCTTGAAGGAAGCCCAGGAGCTCAAAGGCTTTGAGAGAGCTCTTAGAGGTGGCTTTAAGGGGTGTCTGGAAGCTATGGGGGTGGGGGGGAGCTGTGCTGCCTGTGTCCACCACCACACATGTGTCATGACAGCAGGCACAGCACCCAGGAAAAAGACCATCCCGAGGCTGGGTGCCAGAGAGTAGGGTATCCTATGCCTCAAGTGAGGCTAAGAATAGCCCAGCCCCAGAGAAAGATGCTCACAGAGACATGCAGATGTCTACCAGCCCAAGGGTCCACTAATTTCACTTAAATAATGTTTCCAGGAGAGTTAGTCATGAGAAGATATTTATTTACATTTGCCACCAAAGTTCTCTGGAGCCCCAGAGCCAGCAGGCAGGGCTGGAAAGATTTCCTGACTGCCGTGCAACTGGGCCATTAGTGGGACTTCAGGAGCTGGAGGGGCAGCTGGTCGTCCTCCGAGGCAGTGTCCTCCTCCAGTTGGGAGGCCAGGACAGGGTTCCTTATGCTGCCTGTAAATAGGATAGAGAGCACTGTGCCTTGGCCCTTGGGCTGTGTCCCCAGGAGGCAGGCGCCAGGGAAATAGGCCGCAGCCATGAAACCACATACTTTGTGTAGAGCAGGTAATCCTGAATCCCCAGCAATCTCCCTACCCTCTCCCCCTTCCACAGGCATTTCCTGAACCCCTGCTTTGTGCCAGTCAGGGACCTCCTCCCAGGAGCTTAAAGTCCCTGGAGGTGGCAGCCTTTTATGTTAGCAACCAGAACACCTGAGACATGCTGGAAAGCTGGAGGGAAGTGATAAGTAGGGGTTCCAGGAGCTCCAGGGAGAGAGAGAAGCCAACCTGTAAGGAAGGCAGCAGGTCTGGACACCAAGAGAGTAGGAATGATGCTTCAAAGAGAGCCAAGGAAAGCAAAGAACAGGGAGCCTTGTGGAGGACCTGCTGTCACATGGAGGAAGGTGTGCGAAATGGGTCAGACTACAGCCCTGGATCTTCACTTCCAACCAAAAGAGGGAGGATTTCCAAGCAGTGGGAGGCATATCTTGTTGTTTCTGTCTACATTAGAGGGATAAGCCTGGAGCAGAAGGACTTGTGTAAAGGAAGGTGCAGAAGCAGGAGAAATGAGGGGTGGGTGCAGAGGGCTGAGCGGCTGCCTGGGAGGTCCTGGGGATACTCAGCACCAGACTGAGGGGGACATTGAGCAGAGGTCTTCAGGGCTTCCTGCCTGGGTGAGAAGGGGGTGGGGTTGCACACACTACCTGATAGGGCAACCCCAAGACTATTCCTGTTGGAGGATGTCTAGTTGGAAGCCCCAGCAGATGGTGGGTATGGGACTGGGCTGTGGAATGCTTGGGGCAAGATGAAGCACAAAGGTGACTTTCAGAATCTTTGCAGTGAAGTGACAGTGTCAGGACTCAGAGAAAGGGAGACACAAAAAGAGGGCAGGCAGGAAACCTATTGGTTTGTGAGGGCCATGGTCAGAGACCCAGGAGCCTGGGAAACAAGCAGTCTTTGGAGCAAGAGTCTGGAGGAGTGTCCCTACAGAGGGGTCAGAGGTGATGTAGGTGCTGTCATGGGGGAAGGGGTGGGCACCACAGGTACAAGCAAGTGGAGTCTGTTGGAAGGAGGACAGAGAGGAGAAAAGCCAACTGCAGAGGAAGTGGGAGCTACTGAAGATTCCAGAAAAGGGCATACTGTGGAGAAAGTTAAGCCTTTGAACAGACCTCTGGGTGAGAGGAAGGAGCCAAGACCCGTCTTGGTGGAAGGCAGCAGGGCAGAGACAGGAGGGGCTGTCCTCACACTACAATGGACAGGGCACAGCCCATGACAATGGGGAAAGTCATCAGAAGTGACTTGTCAGGGACGCCTGGGTGGCTCAGCAGTTGACCGTCTGCCTTTGGCTCAGGGAGTCTGCTTCTCCTTCTGCCTATGTCTGTCTGTCTGTCTCTCTCTCTCTCTCTGTCTCATGAATAAATAAATAAAATCTTTAAAAAAAAATGTGACTTGTCAGAGGTGTAAGGGCTTAGGGGCTCATGTAGTTGGGGAGAGCTGGGGATCAGTAAGGTGGGCCTGTCAGTAGGGGCTCAGGGAGATGCCCCCTAAGCTGAGGGATATGTAGGGGACCCTCTCTAACCTGTTCCCCAGCTGTGTCCCCAGGCTCAGCCCAGGCCTGGGGCTGGAGAGCCCACTGAAGAGGCCAGGAGGAGGGGTGAGGAGTGAGGAGGCTACAGGTGAGGGCTGGTTTAAGGCTGGACTAGAGAAGGCACCAGCAGCCTCAGGGTGTCTCCCAGGTGACTGCCTAAACAGACCAGTAAGGAGGTGGGGGTGGAGAGGAAAGAAATGCTGTTTTAGAGGGGCAACCTTGGAACTGAGAAGTGGCCATGAGGAAGTCCTGCCTCAGACTCTCCATGGCTGTATGGCCAAGCAGTCTCTGTCTGTCTGTCTGTCTCTCTCTCTCCCCAGGGCAGGAACTCTGGCCACCACGGCTACTCACCAGGGACAGCTGGGCCTGATGGCTCTTCACACACTGTTGGCAGCGTCTGCTCCCACGCAGCCCAGTTCACTTCCTCCACCCTGGAGGGCAACAGAACAGCTCTGAGGCTCCAGGAAACCACCTGTGCAACATGCTTCCCCCAGAAGAGGGGCCCAGGTGGACACAGGAGTAGACACAGGGACAGCGAGGAGGGTGGGATTTCTCCACCATTCTGCCAGGGCCGCATCCTTGCGGCTGTCACCCTGCTGCCCCCCCCCCCCGGGTCACGGGTCTGCATTGAAGGAACAGGCATCTGTCCCTTCAGGCTGTTCACGGCCACCTGGGTTGCCCTGAACATCCAGAGAAGAGTTTAGATCAGGCGTGTCTTTGTGTTGCTGGGTTCTGGGGCCCTTCTCTGGCTATTCCACATGCCGAAGATCCTCCACTCTGAGGGTCCCTGTGGCTTCTTGGCCTCTTAACTGTTCCCCGTTTCAGGCCAGAAGGAGTAGGTCAGGGACCACCAGGGAAGGGCCAGGCAGATGGCCAGGCAGGCAGTGGCAGGCCTGGGCCTCTGAGATCCAGCATCCCTGATCTCACCTGCCTAGGGCAGAGTGCCTGGTGCTCTGAGGCCCTGCTTTCCCACTAGACCTGACCCCTGGCTTTTAAAAGAGTGAAGCTGAAGAAAAAAGAAAGAAAGAAAAAGAAAAGGGGAGAGAGAGAGAGGAATAAGGCTAGGGGTGCTTGGCTGCTTTAGTCAGAAGAGCGTGTGACTCTTGATCTTGGGGCATGAGTTTAAGCTCCACATTGGGTATATAAATTACTAAAGAATTAAAAAAAAAAAAAGAGTAAGGCTGGCCTGCACCACAGCAGCCTCCAGGGATCATTGGGTTAGCAAGGACCCCAGGCTGCCCTCCCCAGCCCCCCTCATTCACCTGAAGCACCAGCGCTCATCAGAGCTACCATCCGGCCTGGTCCCAACGGTCAGCTTCACACCGGCCCGCTGCTTCTTCCTCCTGCACCACCAGTAGCCATTCTCCATCTCCAGGACAGAGATGGCTTTCTGGGGATGAGGGACACATCAGACAGGAGCCAGGAAGATGCCTCACAGCGCTTGATAGTATAACCGAGAGTCGGCTAAGTATGTGGATTTGAATCTAGCTCCAATATTTGGTTACCCAAGTATGGTTAGGCCCTCAGCCCCCCTGAATCTCAGGTTCCCCACTTACAGATGGATGGGTGTTGGGAAGTCACCACGTAATGTGTGTTCAACAATGACTTGCATCATTGCACACTCCAGAACTCCACACCACCAGCTACAGAACCTTATTTGCTTTACCCGCACACATGCCTGCCCACTGGCACACGAGCGAATTAGGTGGAGCACAGGAACTGGCAGGTGAGGATGCAAGCTCAGAGAAGACGAGGGGCTTGCCCAAGGTCAGCAGTGAATCGGTAAGAGTCCAGCCTTCCGAGCAAGGCTCTCTGAGCACCCATTGCCCACCCCCACCCTTGCCCCTCCTCCAGTTGAGAAGCAGCTACTGGTTCTGCGGTAGACAGGTGTCCTATCAGCCTCCAGCTATAGCGGCCTCTACTCCCCAATTCCCCCCAGGCTGGGCCAATCCCAGGATTGCACCTCCAGTCTGCCTCACCCACCGAACTGACCCCATTGACTGCATGATGAACACAGAAGGAGAGCTGCAGGAGGGTGAGAGTTTTGTCTGGTTCTCTGCTGTGTGTTGAACACCTACAACTGAGCTTAGTGGTAGGTTCCCAAGAAATACTTGATAATGGTAATGAAAATGAAAATGATAATGATAATCATAGTGATAATGGCTAACACATTGAACATGTGCCAGCACTGTCCCAAGGGCCCCAGATCTATGAGCTAATTCGAGCGTCCCAACAGCCGTAGGGAAGGAAGGAGGGGTTGGATGAGGCGGCCCAGCTCAGCTGGGTCCTGCATGCTTCTCATGGGGCCCCAAACTTAGGGAGGAGGGGGAAACCCCGCCGCACCTGCAGCTTCCAGATGCTCCAGCTGTCAGTGGCAACACTGTTGACGGTCTCGCTCATGAGGGCGATGAGCATATTGAGCAGCAGGATGTAGGTGAGCAGCACATAGGCCAGGAGCAGCAGTAGCACCACGCCGCGGAAGCGCAGCTGGTCTTGGAATGCCAGCTCCCCCATGCCGATGGTGAACTTGAAGAGCTCCAAGGAAGCGTCCAGTATGCCACCATATGGGGAGGAGCTGCCCTCCGAGTCCCCCTGTCCTGCCCCAGACTGCGCTGCCTCCGTGACATTGGGGCCTGTGGGGACCCCAGAGTCCCGGGCTTCCCGGCTCAGGCTCACCAGGGCTGCAGAAGGGAGGAAGGGGGATCCTCAGCCCGGGGAGACCCAGGGACAACCTCGAAGGTATAAAGAGGGGGCAAGGGATAGGCCAGGGCTAGAAGGGAGGGCCTTTACCTACAGCGAAGCCAAACAGGAAGACTAAGTAGACCAGCAGGAAGCGGAGCAGGTCCCGCAGGATGACCTAGAACACGCACACCCAGGAACTGGGGTGGGTGGCTGGGCCATCGGACACGACCCCAGACCCCTGCCTCAGCCCCAAGAACGGGTTCTCATATACACCACACACACACACACACACACACACACACACACACACACGTGTGCATACATGAATCCCCATGGAGACGCACTAGTAGACCAGTCTTTAAAAAAATCTAATCGGCAAATTGACTTTAAATAGAAAAAATTTTAAAATAATAATCAGACTAAATTTAAAATAAATAATGAATATGACATAAAAATGGAAAAAATCTAATTGGGGCCCCTGGGTGGCTCAGTCAGTTAAGCACCTGACTTTTGATTTCAGCTCAGGTCAGGACCTCAGGGTCGTGAAATCAAGCCCCCAGTATGCTTAAGATTCTCTCTCTCCCTCTGCAGCCCCCCATCAGCTCACACATGCACCCGCTATCTCTCTCTCTCAAAAAAAATTGTAAACCTCAGGGGTCTCCAGACCCCTCACCATGGCCAACAAAGCCCCCACTTCCTCCCCAGCCCTCTGCTTCCCTTCCCATCACCTCGTTGTTCTGTCTCAAGTGCTCCAACCTTGTTCTGGCTCCTGGTCTCTGCCTCGACTGCCTCTTCCCTGAGTCTGCACTGGCTGAATCATTTTTCCAGTCTCGAAGGTCACCTCTTCAGAGAGGTCCTGTCTAAGGCACCCTCTGCCGCAGGCACTCCCCACTGGCACTGTCCTGTGTGTTTCCTTCATAGCTTTTAGCAGTCTGTAACGTTCTCATCTGTCCCTCTCAGAGTTCTCATTTCCCCTACCAGAATGTCAGCTGCAGCAGAGTTGAGGACTTGCCTATTTTACTGATGAACAAAAGAGCATATTCCAACACTTAGAACAGGGCCTGGCTCACAGTACACACTTCCTAAACTTCCATTGAATAAATAAATGAATGCAGAAAAGTCCATATACCCCGGTGTCCCAATTCACAGGCACAAGGATGAGCTGATGTACACACAATGGCTGCTTCTTCACTGGGGTCACTAGCAAACACACATATGTTGTTGCATGTGCCTGCCTGTGCAGAGCGCAGAGCCCGGAGGGCAGATACCCACACCCTCATACTCCTGCTTACACCCAGCGAGTGTCTGGCCTTGTGATCCACAGACAGACATGTGCATGTTCTCTCTGCCCAGGTTAGCTATGGAGGGGGGCTCCTGCGTGCTGAGGCCAGAAGGAGTCCTGCTGGGGTGTGGTGCCCAGCTCTGCCCGGCCACGCTACCCCGAGGCCACCCTTGTCGCTCACCTTCTGGATCATGACACTGTAGATGCCTGTGTGCTGCAAGCCGCGTGTATAATAGAGCAGGTTCAGCCAGCCCAGCACCAGGGAAGACACAAGCAGAGGCAGGTACCACTCCACGGCCAGGAAACACAGTCCCTGGGACAGCACTGTGAGCAGGGCCTGGACCAGGCTGAGTGGGGACAGGATTCGGGTCAGCTTGCAAGCCACCCGCAAGGCCCCCCATACTCCCACTGGCCAGTGCTGCCTCTCCAATGGATGGAAGGTTCTCCATCTGTCTGGGACTGGACTCAGTCAGGTTCTGACTTCCATCTCGGGCAAGTTATTTAACACCTGTGGGCCTTGGTCCCTCCAGCACTAGCACCCAACTCAGAGCATTTGTGCCGATTCAGTGAGGCACAACATGTAGAGGTCAGGCTCTGCTGGCGCACAGTGGGTGCTCAGTACAGGTAACTCTCATGAGGGGGATGCCTGGGTGGCTCAGTGGTTGAGTGTCTGCCTTCAGCTAAGGGCATGATTCCGGGGTCCTGGGATTGAATCCCACATCGGGCTCCCCACAGGGGGCCTGCTTCTCCCTCTGCCTGTATCTGCCTCTCTTTGTGTCTCTCATGAATAAATAAATAAAATCTTAAAAAAAAAAAAAAAAAAAAAACACCTCTCATGAGGATTTGCAAGGATGGGAGCATGGGAACAGAAGGGCCTGGAGCCCCAGGCCAGACAGCCTGCGCTCTGGTCCCAGGCCCCTGGCATCCCTGGCTCGGGGTCCTCTCCTTCCAAGTCAGCCTGGCTGGCTCTGCCCCACCAACGTCTCCCAGGCCTGAGACAGGGGATGGGGAGCGAGGGCCCACATACAAGAGCAGTTCAAAGTAGCTGTCCACGAAGGAGATCCAGATGAACAGACGACGCCTCCAGAAGTACCATAGCTGTGGGGAGGAGGAGCACACAGGTGTGACTGTTCTCCAGGCCACAGAGCAGCATCAGAGCAGCCCTGCTGCCTTAGCCTGGGCTCCCCACTATGCTCCCTGCCTGCTGGCCTGGCTTTGTGGGAGTCAGGCCAGGGATACCTCAGGGGCTCAAGCAGCATTCTTGGACTTTGGGAGGGGGTTGGAGCTTGTGAATCCAGCTGAGAAGGCTCTAAAGCCTGTTTCCAGAAAGTGTAGCCACCCGCAGACATGCAGGCAATGCCAAAGGCCTCTGACCTCCCCGTGAATCCCGATGAAGAACTCACTCACTGCTCCTGGGGAGAGGAAGAGCTTCCTCCCCACCCCCTGGCCTCACAGGGACCCCCCTGTACTCCAGCCAGCCTGCATCTGGTCCCAAAGCTCTGCCCACTCTGTGTAATAGCGCCCAGCCTGTCCCTGAATTTTCACCGGAAAAGGCCCTTCTGGAGGAGTTGGTCTGAGCCTGTGGTCCCCAAGTGAGGAATGCCCCAGCCAAGGAAGCTGGGGGTGGCGGATCCTGCTCCATTCCTCAGGGAGCAGCGCTGGCACTGCTGAGAAATCACAGGAGTCATGTGCTACCCCTAGAAAGCATAGCAGGGAGGTCCCAGCCCCAAAACCCAAGGTCCTCAGCTGCCTTGAGGCTGGTAAGGGTGGGACTGTGTATAGAATTTGGTTTCCCGGAAACTAAGGGGTTGTGGTTAACTCACTCTAAGGCCCTCCCCTGGTGGAACTCTACGTTTGCTTCTGGGTGGTCTGGGAGCCTGGTGTGGGAGCCCACAGAGTTGTGGAGTCATGGGGTGGGGGTGGGGGGAATGGGAAAAGCCCTCACCTGGCCCACCAGGAGGTAGACCCCCCCAAGGAGGATCAGGATGTGGCCCAGCAGCAGCATGGAGTCCCCAGCAGTCACGGTCGGGGGGAGGAAGGCCTATGGAAGAGACACTCTGGTACCACCTGGGGCCACGAGTCCCCTTCCAACAGTCAGACTCTTCGCAGAGGGCCCATTCTGAGCATAAGCTATGGAGATGCCACTCAGAGCAATACAGGGATCGTGGGGTCTGGCGTAGGACCCCTAGATTCTAGCCTATCCTAGAGGGACGCTGGATAGTGGTCATGAGAGTGGGGTCTGGTGCCAGACTGCCCAGGTTCAGATCCCATCTCCCCGACTTACTGCCTGTGTGACACTGCATAAGTCACTTAACCTCTCTGTGCGTATAAACTGGGGATGATAATAGTTCATCACCTCAGAGGGTTGTTGTGAGCATTAATTAAATAAATTAATGCATGTCACCCACTGAGAGTACCTCCTCACATGTGGTGACCATATGGAAAGTATCATCATAAATGCTTTTTCTAGGGTGCTGCCTTCCAGACTGTCACCGGCTATGTCACAGCCTTGGGTGGGGGGGTCACAGCCTCAGGGTCAGGATTTACAGATTACTACCCCATCTTCTTCTAGGGTTAATCCCCTCCCAGAATGCGCCCCTCCCCAGCCTTGCCTTCCCCAGGGCTGGCTGGTGGTAAGCAACAGCGGTAAAGATGAACATGTAGGTCAGGTAACACAGGAAGTTGAAGAAGAATCTGGGGATTAGCAGATCCCATTTCGCCTGTAGCAGTTTGTTCAGCGGTTCCAAAACCACCATTCGATGTCGGTGCTGGGGGTGGGAATGTGAGAGTTAGGGGTACGTTCAGCAAGGATATATAGGGATCCCACTCAGGTCAGGCTCAAGGCAAGGGATGAGGGAAATGGGGGGACCCCAGATAAGCCCTCTGCACCAGTCTCCACCCCACCCTCATGGCTCCATCAGTTGATGGAGCATCATATCCTCTAGCGCAGGGCAGGTGCTGGTCAACAGAGAGGTCAGTGATTGTCTCCAGGCCACCAGAATGCTCCCCTGTGCCGGGTGGGACTGGGTGGGACTGGTGTGTGCAATGCACCTGGGCCAGCAGCTGGGGACAGGACATGTGGCCACATCCCCACTGACACAGGCCTGGGGCAGCTTTGGCCCTGCAGGCTGCCCTGAAGGATGGACCTTGCCAGGGCCCCTACACACACCCCTGCCCCAGTGGGCTCACCGGGCTTCTGCAATGAAAGGCGATGATCTCCAGCACGGAGTTCTCCTCCCAGCTGTCCACAGAGGCCAGGTCATACAGCGACACCCGGACAGGCCCGTAGCACCACTCAGTAAACTTTCGGGAAAGTGACTGGCACGGCCCCGAGAACTCCCGCTGCAGGATGTGCCTGAAAATCTACAGGGTAAGTTTCATGAGTTTAGCCTGCATGGCCACCTCCCAGCACAGCCTGGACTCAGTACCCACCTGAAGAGCTGCCCACCACCTGCAGAGCTGCAAGCAGACACACACACACACCCCATACACACAGGTCCTTGTGTGTATAAATGCTCACATACATCCCCACATGCTCAGCCACAGTGTAAACACTGCCATCGGCTCACATATGTCTAGGTCTGCCAGTGAACCTGGCTCTTCATTTCCCACTCCTGCCCTGAGGCCTCTTTCCTGGACTCTTTACATGGCAGAGGGACCTTCAGCCCCTTGAGATCAGAGCTACACATACGTGTACACTTCTGTGGTCAGAGCTCAGAGCTTCCAACAGACTAGAAAGCAAACCTAACTCAAACAGGTTAAGAAGCAATTTGGTGTTGGTGTGCCTGGCTGGCTCAGTTGGTGCAGCATGTAGCTTTTGATCTTGGGGTCGTGAGTTCATACCCCACATTGGGTGTAGAGATTACTTGAAAAAAAAAAAAAGAAGCAGCAATTTGGATTTACAAGGGAAAAGAAGGGCCACCAGCCATGCTTCTGGAGAAGAAAGGGAGGTTCCCAAACCCCAGGAACTTTGGGGGCAGGAATAAAATAGTAAAACTTCCATTTATGTTTATTTTTATCTTAACCTTTCAAAATGTCTGTGTTTGGGGGCACCTGGGTGGCTCAGCTGGTTAAGCGTCTGCCTTCCACTCAGGTCATGATCCCAGGGTTCCGGGATCAAGCCCTGCATTGGGCTCCCTGCTCAGTGGGGACTCTGCTTCTCCTTCTGCCTCTGCCTGCCACTCCCCCTGCCCCCCCTCAAATAAATAAAATCTTTACAAAAACAAAACAAAGCAAAAACACCGAAATGCCTATGTTCGAAGCATAGGGCCCTGTGTAAAATGCACAAGTTTTATACCATGAAGGTCCACAGATAATAAGGCTCAGACAATTGAGTAAGCCATTTGAAAAAAGGGACGCTTGGGTGGCTCAGGGGTTGAGCATCTGCCTTTAGCTCAGGGTGTGATCCCAGAGTTCCGAGATTGAGTCTCACATCAGGCTTCCTACAGGGAGCCTGCTTCTCCCTCTGCCTATGACTCTGCGTCTTTCTGTGGCTCTCATGAATAAATTTAAAAATCTTAAAAAAAAAAAGCCGTTTGAAAAAATAGTAGAGCTGAATCATGCTTACTTTTTTATACCAAAATAACTTCCAGACAAATCAGTTTTACGCATTAAAAATAAAACTTGCAAAAGTCTGGAGGAAAATATGGATACAGAACACACACACACACACAAATACACACACACCACACAGTTTTACATAAATATATAGCCTCATAGGATGTATTAAACAATAGCAAAACCAAGGAATTCTAAAGGAAAAGATAATTACAGTTGTATATAGGAAAATGTAAACATTCTACCGGGCAAAAAATCCTAAGAAATGTTTTTAGAGGGTGCCTGAATGGCTCAATCGGTTAAGCATCCAATTCTTGATTTCAGCCCAGGTCATGATCTCAGGGTCCTGAGATCGAGGCCTACTTCCAGCTTCGTGCTCAGCTGGGAGTCAGCTTGGGGATTCTCTCTCTACCTCTCTCTCTACCCGTCCCCATGCTCTCTCTCTCTATCTTTCTGCCTCTAAAATAAATACATAAATCTTAAAAAGAAAAAAAAGAAATGCTTTTACATTGAACCAAGAGAAAAATTTTCAGCTATTATAGCACACAAAATGCTGATACATTCATTATAAAGAACATTTACCAATCAATATGAAGAAAACCTAATAGCAGATCTAACCACAAAATAGGCAAAGAATATGAAAAGACTGTCTTCTAATCCAGGAACCCAAATGACTTAAAAATCCGTTTTATAATGTGATATATTAGTTCATTAGTTCATATATAATTTATCAATAAACACACATATAGGGATGCCCAGGTGGCTTAGTCGATTAAGCGGCGGCCTTGGGCTCAGGTCATGATCCTGGAATCCCAGGATTGAGTCCTGCATTAGGCTCCCTGCTCAGCAAGGGGTCTGCCTCTCCCCCTACCCCCACCGCTTGTGTTCTCTCGCTTGCTGACTCTCTCTCTCTCTCAAATAAATAAATAAATAAATAAATAAATAAATAATTTAAATTTACTTTGAAAAAGTTTTTAAAAATAAACACACATATATTAGAAGTGCATGCTGAGGGACGCCTGGGTGGCTCAACGGTTGAGTGTCTATTTTCGGTTCAGGCTGTGATCCTGGGATTCAGGATCAAATCTCGCATTGGGCTCCCTATGGGGAGCCTGCGTCTCCCTCTGCCTGTGTCTCTGCCTCTCTTTCTGTATGTCTCTCATGAATACATATATAAATCTTAAAAAAAAAAGTGCACGCTGAACATATTTTACTACCAGGACAGTTCAATCAAAAAGTGGGGAGACACCAGGGATCTAGAACACTGCTCCAGCTCTTTCTGCAGAAAAAAACAAAGCGAGTCCTGTTGCTTCCTGGAAAGGTGAGGAACAGATGGGGGCTAGGTACACACCTCAATTTTGCCCTCCTTGGCAGCCAGCTTCAGAGGCGTGAGGCCCTGCAGGTTGGGGATGTCCTCGAGCTGCACTTTGGGGCAGAGGCGGGCCCCAGCACGGAGGAGCGCATCATACATGCGGATCACCAGGGCACTGTTCTCGGCTGAGTTGTCTGCGATCATCACCAAGGCATGCAAGGCCGTGTTGCCCAGCGAGTCGGCTGCCTGCAGGCTGGCAGGCTGATGCGGGTTCTCCAGGAGGTAGGTCACCACATCCCACTGCTTGGTGCACGCAGCCAGAGAGAGGGGCAGCTCACCTGAGAGCCAAGGGGGCATCTTGAGCCTCAGGCCTCCCAGCTTTCACCTGCCTACTCCTCACGCTCCTAGGACAGAAGGCCAGGCCTCCTTCAAGACAGTCAGGCCCCCATGGGAGAGGATGGTACACTGCCTTGGGCTCCTGGGCTCACCCAGGCCTGAGCCATAAGGCAAGATGGTCCCAGGTCCCATGAAGGGCAGCTGTGTCTTTTCCTATGAGCTCTGGTAAAGGCAACCCTGTCTAGCTCTTGGCCCAAGGGAGAGGTGACCAATGCCCTTTACCAGCTAAAGCAGCAGAACATGGGGCGCCCAGGGCGCCCAGGTAGCACAGTTGGTTGCTTCTGGCTCAGGTTGTGATCTCAGGGCTGTGAGATCAAGCCCCGAGTCAGGCTCCACATTTAGTGCAGAGTCTGTTTAAGACTCTCTTTCCCTCTCCCTTTGCCTCTCCCCTGCCCCTTGTTCACTCACTCACTCTCTCTTAAATAAATAAATCTTTAAAAAAATAAAATAAAGGAGAACAGAGGCCAGCCAACCCAAGTTCCCATCTCCCAGCCTCTTTCTCTTTTCTTCGCCAGAGCCCTGCCTCACTGCCACCTGGCATAGATACCCCATTCAATCTGGGCCCTAGCTGGTCAAGTTCGGCCTGCCCCTTACCCTCCACTAGTCTGAGTGTGGATGTGTGGGGAGCTTCTTTGGCTACCCAAGGCTAAAGCCTTTATCTCCTAAGATAAATTGCTTCTGCAAGCAGCCCAGTGACTTAGAAGCATGAGCCATCTGGGTTTAAGGGCCAGCTCTGCCACACATTAACTGTGTGATCTTGGGCAAGGCCTTGTCTCCAAGAAAGACTCCTCACCAAAGTAGAAGCAAGTCCCTTGGCTCTTTTTCTGGAAGAATTGGCCACAGGCCTGGGCATGCACATTGGCCCCGTTCTCCACCAAGAGCTTCACACATTGCAGGCTCCTCTTCTCGATGGCAATATGCAGGGCGCTGTGGCCTCGGTAGTACTCATCCGTGCATTGGGCATTGACCAGGGGCTGGGGATTGCCAGAGTTCCGGTCGATCTGAAGCAATGGCAGGATGCAGGCGTTGGCGCCATCCCGAAGGTTTAACACAGCCTTCATCAGGCACGTCTTGCCCGTGGAGCCCTCTGTGGGAGAAGGAGAGGGGAGGGGGCACTGGGGTGCTCAGGCGGGGAGTGAGTGGGCTGCCCCACCAGCCTATACGGTGAGCCTAGGCTCCAAAGTACACCTTGGGAGGGTAAAAAAAGATTGTCACACATGATTGGTGGAAGCACAGCCGTGCTACAGGATATTAACTCTCGAGCCAACAGGTATTAAAATACTAACAGGTATGACTACAATTTCTGCCCTAGAAAAGAAGTGGCTGGGCAGCCCAGGTGGCTCAGTGGTTTAGTACTGCCTTCAGCCCAGGGTGTGATCCTGGAGACCTGGGATCGAGTCCCATAGTAGGCTCCATGCAGGGACTGAAAAACAGGCTTTTCCCTCTGCCTGTGTCTCAGCTCTCTCTCTCTCTCTCTCTCTCTCTCTCTCTCTCTCTGTCTGTCTCTCATGAATAAATAAATAAAATCTTAAAAAAAAAAAGAAAAGAAGTGGCTAAGACATAATTTGTTGTATGTACAACACTGTCTACACAAGAACATTCAGAGCAATATCTGTTAAGTGTAAAGTGGGACTAGTCCGGGGTTGTTCTAAGGGCCAAATGGAATTATATACAAAATTTTTAGGGATGCCTGGGTGGCTCAGCTGTTGAGCATCTGCTTTCCTCTCAGGGCGTGATCCCGGGGTCCAGGATCGAGTCCCTCCTACAGCTCCCTGAGGGGAGCCTGTTTCTCCCTCTGCCTGTGTCTCTGCCTCTCTGTCTCTCGTGAATAAATAAATAAAATCTTAAAAAAATTTTTTTTCACACCTAGAGGGCCTGGCACACAGTACGTTGAAGTGAGAAACTACACACAACCTAAATGGCCATCATTAAGGAATTGGTTAAATTGTGGTAAATGCACACAATGGAAAATTTTGCGGTTGTTAAAGCTACTCACTTAGAGGTCTACTATGTACTGAAGTGGAAAGAATGAGATATAGTTGAGGGGGGAGCACATTACAAAGTGATACCATATATAAGGCATGACCCACTATGTAAATATATACCTAATATATTCAAACGTTTTAAAAAGATATGTGCCAAATCATTAACAGGGATGCGGGATGTCATACTGTGGGGTTTTTGTTGTTGTTGTTGTTGTTGTTGTTTGTTTTGTTGTTGTTTGTTTGTTTTATTCACCAGAGACACACAGAGAGGGACAGAGACATATACAGAGGGAGAAGCAGGCTCCCTGAGGGGAGCCTCATTTGGGACTCAATCCGAGGACCCCAAGATCACAACCTGAGCCAAAGGCAGACACTCAACCACTGAGCTACCCAGGTGCCCCTGTCAATTGTTTTTGTCCTCAGCTTTATACATATCATTACTATCTGAATCTTCTAGAATACATAAAAGTTATTTTTCTAATCAGCCCAAACAATAAAGATACTTAGATTTGGGGCAAAAAATGTACTGAGATGGGTGAAGTGTATGGTATGTGTATTATATCTCAACAACCTATTAAGACAAAAAGAAAAAGAAATAAATGCAGAGGAAGCCCATGAGTATCCACTTAGCCGCCAGAATGGGCTGAGGATGGCAGAGGTAGGCCAGGAGCCAGTGGGGAACATAGAAGAGGAACGCACAGCCATGAGCCAAGTGAGCTGTCCCCCGCTCTGTGAGCAGGGCCTTTCCTCACCCATCTGGGCAGGAGGGTTCCTGACCACAGTCAAGGCCACCTAGTCAGCTGAGTCTCAGCACGGCCATCAGCATGCAGTGGCTCTGGCCCACCGGGCAGGCCTGCCTACCTGTGTACTCTGAGTCAGTGAGGTACTTGCTGGTCCGGGACAGGTACTCTGGTAACCCAGCCAGATCCTCGGGGACACCCCGGGCAACCACGCTGAAGAGCCGATCACGGTCAAAGCGGTTTGGGTCCGGCTGGCTGTGGAGATGGGATTTGTGTCTGATGCTGTGGAAGAACCATGGGTCCCCCAAGAAGCCCCCCACCCCAGGGAGCCCTTCCAAGGAGTCCTGTGAGCCGGTGTACCCTACAGGCCCATGAGCCGCATGGGAGTCTTTCTGAGGGTCCCTGCCCTCCCACAGCAGACCAAGGAGACCCCAAGTGCTGAGAGCCCAAGGAGAAGGAGGAGGACCTCTCTAGGGCACTAGTTCCCAGCATCCCCATGACTCCAGACATAGCAGGTATTTCTCAGCATCAGGTGCTTATCATTTGCTAGGTGGCTTGATGATCTCACAACAGGCTCATGATCCCAGATGGAGGATTTCATTGTAGGAACTTGTCACACTCTTGAGCTGGAGTCCGGATTGATGGGACTACAGGAGGTGCCCACTGACTGTTAGGGGCTGTATGCATTGCTGGCCTCAACCAAGGAATCAAGAAAGCCCCTCATGCTCTCAGAAACCACCTACAGACTAATAATGGAGTCTATATGCACTTTTAACCCTCACCTGAGCCCTAGGGACATCAGTGATCACTGTGTCCTCCGTTAGACAAATAGAGAAAGTAACTCGCCCAAAGTCACATGTGCAGATCTGGGGCTCAGATGGGAGGAGTCTAACTAACTCCAGACCCTAAATCCTAGCCCCCAGGGATATTCTAGGCTGGGCAGACAGAGGTTTCTCAGAGACACAGGGGCCTAGAGCTGAAACCTATCAGATGCCCACCAGAGTTTAACTGAGAAGCCACACTTCTGGAAAAGGCACCAGAAGAGTACTACAGGATGTAGCTTTTTAGCATCTAGCAGTTTCTGGTGACAGGGAAGGGGAAGGAGTGTAGGATACCGCTCCTGGTCATGCCACTGCTCACAGAGGCCAGCCCACACCTGGGGCTCCTGGAACCATGACTAGCAGATATGAAGGGATAAAGGTGGGGGTCTATTTGATACTCTGGGGACCCGCAGGTCCGAGGTTCACCAAGGAAGGCTGGGGGATGAGTGGGGGATTGTTGGGATCAGTCATGTCCAAGCTGCAGCTATGTGGCTGATAGAGCCAGGGCCTGCCTCCTCCACATCAGGAGGTTACGTGTCTGCCTGGCCTGGCCAGACACACCCTCATCGGCCCAGCAGAGCACGTGGCCTCGGCATGACCGAGAAGGCTCTGTGGAGCCCTGTGGGCAGTCGGGCTGGAGCAGAAGTGGCTGTTTGGACAAAATACTTCCTGTCACATGGTGGCATCACAGTCTTGGGGTAGGGGAGTCCAGCAAGAGCACAGATTGGGCAGCAGGGTGCCTATTGTGCCTGCCAGGCAGGCACACAGGAGCCTCACACGCATTCTCTCCTGACCTGGCCTGAATCTGCCCATGGTTTTCCAACACCAACAATACGGAGTCTCAGGGTTGGGAACCCAAGGCTGGGGCCTTGTCTTAGGCATGACGATGGAGGAAGGGGCTTTGATGATGGAGTCCTGCCCTGCCCATGAGGATTCTCCAACCTCGTACATCAGACTTCACACTGAGGGCGCATGCCAGGTGAACTCCACACACACCCGAGGGACTGGAAGTCGTACTCCAGGCAAAAGTGAGCTCACATGGTCTGAACTGGTGCTGATCACAGGAAACTCACAGTGAAGAGGCTTCCCAGAAGAAAGCCCACCCATAGTCTATAACCCCTGGGCAACGGGTCGAGCCTGGAGCAGAACCCAGGAGCACCCAGGAGACTTCCGCTTCTCCTTGCCTCCCTCTTGGGACTAGAGTGTGGATCATGCTACCATCCCCACAGGGACTGTGACGGGGCAGGGGCATAAACAAGGGATGCAAGGGTCAGCTGAGTACTTGGATATGGAAGAGTATGTCCCTGTGAAGAACAACACGACCTCAGAAGGCAGAAGACCAAGAATGAGGAAGGTTCCAGGGGAGGCAAGCCCAGAGAGCAGAGCAGGGTTATGCCCATCAGGCCCAGGAGCCATCAAAGCAGACTGAGGATCCCCCTCCAGGCTGTGGGGAAGGGGCACTGGGGCTGGTCCAGGCCCCCAAGTCTGACTCAGGGTGCTCTGCTGGAAGCGAGTGGCTTCCAGGCCCCACCCCCATTTGCTATCTCACCTGACACCTGCTCCTTTGCGGAAGCTGAGGTTTACTTTGATCTGAGGAGAGCACTTGCGATCCTCCCCTTGGAATGGTGACTCCATGGGGGGTGGCCCAGCCCCGGGGCCTGCCTTTCCTTTGTCCACCTCACTGCCATCTTCCTGGCCTCCATCTGATGTCTCAAGCCTGAAAGTGGGAGAGCTGAAGGGCGAGGCCATCCTACCAGGGAGAAGGCTGCTTTGTCCAGCTCAAACCTCTGAAGAGACAGAGCTGTCAGAGGCTCCTCCTTCTTCCCAGCCCTGGGTTTGGGGTAGGAAGTCTGGCTGAGGCCTACAAAAAGAGAAGTTTAGAAGCTGAGTATGAGTAGGCCCACCCACCGAGTCAGCCCAACAGGACGGGGAGTAAACCACGAGGGAGGGAGGAAGGCAGGCGGGTGGAGGGGGCAGGGAGGGGTGGAGAGGCGCGAAGGGGGGGGAGGCCCCTGGTGTGAGGATGGAATGGGGAAGAACAGGGACCCAACGGGTATGCCTTTCCACAGTCAGGAGGGGTTGAGATTGTCCCTGACTTTCCCTCTGAGAGTTCCTGATATCTGAGAGGCCACAGCCCCTGGTCCCGGGTAACAAACGTTTGAGTTCACAGCATAAATCTTTCCATAACATCTTGCTCAGTGGCCAATATTCACAACCAATAAAAGTGCTGTTGGAGCCTAGAGGCAGGTCATTCAGCTTCTTGCCGCAGAATGGGAGCATGCTGGGGGCAACGGATGGAAAACTACTGGTCTATCAAACCTCTCATTTTGCTACCAGGAGAGCTAAGGCCCAGAAAGGGAAGTAGTTTCCTGAGGTTGGCAGCTATTGGCAGAGCCTGGTCAAAAACCACAGCACCCTACCATGACGTTCTTCTTCAGTTCTCAAAATATTTCAGGGCCCATCTCTGTTTTCAGTCTGACTCATCTCTGAAGGCATCAAACACCCCCCACTCTGTGTGCTTTAGGGTCTTTGGGGGTTTCAGAGTAGGGAGGGAGACCCCTGACTGGCTGCCTTGACAGGCAGCCCCCCCTCAGGCCTAGGTGTGGCTCTGGGCTCTGATACCTCTTCACAGAAAGGAAACCACAGTCCCATGTGGCATGGCAAAGGTTGGGGACCCAGTGTGAGGGGGAGCGGGGGTGGGGGGGAAGGCCCCTTGCCCCCCAGTGGGTAGGAGCAGAAAGAAGGAAAAAGAGTCAGCAACGGATGGAGCAACAGCAGGGTGGGAGAAGAGGGCAGAGAGCAGAGGAGAACATAGGAAAGGGAAGGAGGGCCAAAAGCAGAAAGGGTGGATGGTGACAGGGCTGTGTCCCGTCCAGCTGCAGGCTCCCACAGCCCCCAGGGACCCGGTGGGGGTGGGAGGAGAGGCATTCTTCCACAGAAGCAGGGCAGGCCGGGATCTGGCTGACTGCCTCTACATGCAGGGATTTTTTGGTTTTGGTTTTTTACTTTAAGGGGAGCCACCATCTTTCTGCCCAATCTGGGGCTTCCTTTCCAAGCCACACACCATATAACCTGGTTTACGTCCCCAACCATCCCCAACTCCCCCCCCCACCCCCGACCGCCTCTGGTGGGAGGGGGGCAGCCCTCCCTCCCCAGCGTCCGCAGCAGCAGCTACCTGTGCAGCCCCTGCCCCCTGGCCTGGAGCCCCGACCCGCCTGGGCAGGGAGGTAGGGGGTGGCGGTCCGGGTGGAGGCCCAGCCTCTGGGAGACCCTGGCTGGGGGGCTGAAGGAGCAGGGAGCCCCTCCACCCCGCCCTCGGCGTTCCCCGCCCCGATCGGCCACTGTCAGGCCCCCAGCGCCCCCCTCTCCCAGGTGCCCGGATCGCCCACCGACTCACCCTGCAGGCCGAGGCTAGGGCGCGGCGGCGGGGGCTGCGGGGCGCTGGGACCCCGGGCCTCCCGGGCGGCGGGGGCTGCGGGAGGAAGAGAAGCCGGGACGGCGGCGGGCGCAGGCAGCCGGCAGCCGCGGCGCCTCCCCAAGCCTGCTCTGGGCCCCGTGGGCGGGCTGCGGTCTCGGGGTGTTCCGCACGGTCAGCCCCCCCGGCCCCCCGGCCTCCCGGCGTGGTGGGGAGCCCCGGGTCGGCACAGGCTGGCCATGGGTGAGGGACTAGCTGGACCACGGGCCACACCCTGCTCTGGGGAGACACGCCCCGCCGCCCCACCCCCACCGTCTAGCCAAGGAGGGCGCAGGTGGGGGTGGGGGCAATCAGAGGCCAGCAGCAGGTGGGAGCTGGCACTGAGTGAGGGTGGGGTGGGTGGTGGATTCCTGCCCCACTGTGCTGACATCTACCCCCTCCCGCTCCCCACCACAGGGGTCCTGGGGCTCCCACTGGGGACTGGTGGTGAACCCATCACAGGGCCGACAGAGCTACTATGGGTGGGCCCCAGGGAGAGGAGGAGCCTAGCCCAGCCCAGCGCACGACCCTGGGATGCACGACACCCAAGAAACTAGCCGTTTGGGGGGTTTCTCCCAACCTCTGGAGCCGGGGTAGGGTGGGTGGGGTGGGGAGCTGTCCGCAGCACACTTCCCGCAGTGAAAGGCGCTTCCAGCACCCACCAGCAGGGGGAGGTCAGGGACGCCTCCAGGTAATGCTGAAATCCGAACTCCCCGCCCCGCCCTGGTGAGGCTTGAGGCCGCAGTCACCCTCCAAGCCCACCTGGGACACCTTCCTCTCCCTAGTTCCCTAGAATTCAATCCCCGCCCCAAGCCTACCAAACTGTCTCTTCTCCCTCTGGTCGAAACATCTATCCTCTCTTCCCTGGGAGACTGCAGCCACCCCCGAACTGGTCTCCCTGCTTGACACCAACCCGACCCTCACCCTTATAACCCATTCTCTGTACAGCAACTGGAAGGATCTTCCCAAAGTGAACACCAGATCACCCCACTCCCCTTCCCCCAATCAGTGGTTAAGCTTAATCAAAGCTTCCCCTGGGGCTTTGAATAAAATGCAAACTGCGCAGTCTAGATGTCCTTCCCCACCTTCATCTCTCACTGCAACCCCATCTTGCACATTACTCTTGACCTGCACTGTCCAATATAGTAGTCACGAACCACAGCGGCTATTTTTTTTAAATTTTTTTTATTTACTTATGATAGTCACAGAGAGAGAGAGAGAGAGAGGCAGAGACATAGGCAGAGGGAGAAGCAGGCTCCATACACCGGGAGCCCAACGTGGGATTCGATCCCGGGTCTCCAGGATCGCGCCCCGGGCCAAAGACAGGCGCCAAACCGCTGTGCCACCCAGGGATCCCCCCACAGCGGCTATTTAAATCAGTTATGATAAAATAAAATTAAACATTCAGTTCTACAGTCATAATGGCCACATGGCAAATGCTCAATAGTCACATGTGGTTAGTGGCTGCCATATTGGATTACACAGATATAGAATTTCTCCACCATTGCAGAGAATTCCGTTGGACAGAACTGCTCTAGACACTTCAGTCTCTCCAGTATGCAGTGCTCCCTTCTGTTGCCTCCAAGCCTTGCACAAGTTGGTCTACCTGCCAGGAACAACGCTCTCCCACCCACACAAACACTGCCCTTGCTCTAGCAACTCCTATTCATCTATTGTCTCTCCATTTATTTTATTTTAAGATTTTATTTATTTGACGGGGGGCAGAGGAGCACAAGCAGGGGGAATGGCAGAGGGAGAGCAAGAAGTAGGCTCCCTGCTCAGCAGGAAGCCCTACCAACACAGGGCTCAATCCCAGGACCCCAGGATCATGATCCATGACCCATGACCCGAACCAAAGGCAGACGCTTAACCAACTGAGCCACCCAGGAGCCCCTATGGTCTCTCCATTTAAACATCAATTCCTCTAGGTAGCTTTTCCCAGACCCTGGAGTGGGATTGGGGTCCCCACTATGTGCTCCCATGACACTTTATACTTCTTTGATCATATCTCACTATCCATTATTGTTAACATGTATTTTGTCTGGCTTCACCTTTAACCAATGCCTACTAAGCACTCACTACGCGTCAGACACTGTGCCTAGCGCTTTACATGTGACTCTCAGAGCAACGTTATTTCACAGACTGGCAAACAGAGGCTGGGCGAAGTTGTCCAAAGCCACATGGCTGGGAGGTGACAAAGCAAGGATTGGAATCCAGGGCCACACCCTTATGCACCAAGCTCTACAAGGGGCAAGGTTTGGCTCTCTCTCTCTCTCTCTCTCTCTTTCTCTGTATCCTAGGACCCAATAGCCCACTTGTGCTCAAGAAGTCTTTTTTTTTTTTCAAGAAGCTTTGAATGATTGGGTGGCTTCATAATCATAATGCAGAGGACATTATTGCTGTTGGGGAAAAACTGAAGAGTAAGTGGACACCCTCACGTCTTTCAGAGGCATTATCACATCAGGTGACAATGACAACTGGGCAGAAAACCCTACTTGCAAAACACAGTTTATAAAAAGTTCTCAGATCATCAGCCAGCAGGGAAATGCAAATAAAAACCACAATGAGATACCACTCACACCCACTGGGATGGCTATAATCAAAAAGACAGATAACAACGAATGTTGTAAGCATATAGAGAAATTGGAACACTCATACAATGCTGAAGAATCATAAAATGGTGTAGCCAGGGCATCTGAGTAGCTCAATGGTTGAATGTCGGCTTTTGGCTCAGGTTGTGATCCCAGGGTCCTGGGATCGAGTCTCACATCAAGCTCTTCACGGGGAGTCTGCTTCTCTCTCTGCCTTTCTCTCTGTATCTCTCATTAATAAATAAAATTTTTAAAATCTTAAAAAAAATGATGCAGCCACTTTCAGAAACAGTCTAGCAGTTCCTCAAAAAATTAAACACATAGGGTGCCTGGCTGGCTCAGTTAGAAGAGTGTGCAACTCTTGATCTCAGGGTCCTGAATTCAAGCCCCGTGTTGGGTGTACAGATAATGAATAAATAAACAAACAAGCATGTAGTTACCCTAAGACCCAAATATTCCAATCATTTCAAAGGAAATGTAAATGTACATCCACGCAAACATTTGTACACAAATGTTGACAGCAATGTTATTCATAATGGCCAAGTGGAAACAATGCAAACATACATCTACTGATGAATGGATAAATAAAATGCAGTCTCTCCATACAAGAGAATGTTATTCAGCCATAAAAAGGAATGAAGTAGTTTTACATGCCACATCAAGAATACCCCTTGAAAAAATTAGGCTAAGTGAAAGGTGCCAGTCACAAAAGATTTCATATTGCATGGTTCCATTTATGTAAAATGTCTAGAATAGGGAAATCTATGGAGATAAAAGATAGATTAGTGGTTGCTAAGGGTGACAGGGCTTGGGGGGATATGAGGAGCTAAAATGTACAGGGGGAAATGAAAATGTCCTAAATTTGACTGTGATGACAGTTGTACAACCCTGTAAATATACCGAAAACCATTGAATTGTACACTTTAAACCGGTGAACTGGGGGATCCCTGGGTGGCGCAGCGGTTTGGTGCCTGCCTTTGGCCCAGGGCGCGATCTTGGAGACCCGGGATCGAATCCCACGTCGGGCTCCCGGTGCATGGAGCCTGCTTCTCCCTCTGCCTGTGTCTCTGCCTCTCTCTCTCTCATTCTATGTGACTATCATAAATAAATAAAAATTAAAAAAAATAAAAATAAAAATAAACCGGTGAACTGTACATAAATTCTACCTAAAAAAAAAAAAAGTCCTCTGAGCAGGAAAGAATGCCTGTGTTTTTAATGGAAAATGAATCAGGCAGAGAAGCAAGTCCTCCTCAATTCCAAGGTCACTGGACTTCTATTTCAAGAAACTTCATCCAGTCCAGTCTCCATATAAGAAAATCTCCTCCAAGTACCTTTACTTCTATGTGTTTCATTTCACACTTAGCAACTTTTTATAAAGGCATGTATCTTCTATTTGAATTTATTTTCATAATCAATTTTAACAAAAACAAGAGAAAGGTCATAAAAATGTATAACAGAGGTATCCTTTGGAAGAAGTAATTAAGGATCAAGGAAGAGGGGGGGCAACACTTGGCTGGCTTAGTCAGTAGAGCATGTGACTCTTGATCTCAGGATCCTGAGTTCAAGCCCCAGTTTGAGTATAAAGGTTACTTAAAAAGAAAAAAGGATCAAGAATGGGAAGGCAACTTCCTTTTCAATGTGTATACTTTGATACTACTTGATTTTTTTTCTAACATGGCTTTAAAAAAAACGGAATCTTTTGTAGAGTTAAAAAAGAATCCAACTCATATGTGCAAAATATGGCTAAACTCTGTCCATAATTAATGTAATGTAAATTCTAAAGAGAGGTGGGTGAGAGGGCTTCAAAGTCTGAAAGATGGGAACTGTTTTGGCCTTAGTGGGAAAGAAAGGTAGGATTTGGGGGGAGCAAGGTGGACAAGCCCGGGCCTGTGCTGAAAGCTTTTGGTTCTCCTTGTGCCAATCCCAAAACTTGGTCCAGAACCTGGGCTGGGCCATGTTTATTGGCCAGATAAATGCAACCCACCCTGAACAGCTCTGTATCTGGAAGTGACAGTAAAAATATAGAAATAAGCCTATTGGGATCCCTGGCTGGCTCAGCGGTTGAGCGTCTGCCTTTGATTCATGGTGTGATCCTGGAGTCCCGGGATCAAGTCCCACCCATCGGGCTCCTCCCTTCATGGAGCCTGCTTCTCCCTCTGCCTGTGTCTCTGCCTCTCTCTGTGTGTGTGTCTTTCATGAATAAATAAATAAAATCTTAATTTAAAAAAAGAGTCCCATTTAGGAGGTTGAACAGGCTTCCTAAAACAAGGTACACTGGAGTTTAGCAATCTCAAAGTAGGAAAAAAAAATACTAGTAGAGGTGACCCTGGTCCTCAGAGAGGCAGGGACCCTTAGAGGGCCACCCATGCCAAGGGCTCCTCCTAGAGGAGAAGGGGACTAAGGTCCTGCTAGTGTGAGTATAGCCTGCTGGCCTGGGAGAATTCTCCCTCTCAAGGAAAGTGAGCTGCCCCTTGCCACCCTGCCTCTGAGGCCCAGAGGCCACTGGTCAGCCAGACCCTTACCTGGGACCTTCCCCCTGGACCCAGAAGAGCCACATCCAGGCCCTGGGCTAAATCTGGGAGCCAAGTTCCAGGCCCATTCACCTCGAGAATTTCCCCAA